TGTACAGAACTGTAGATAACATGACAATGGCAACAGGAGATAAAGTAAACTTAGCCTGAAGTTTTGCAGGAAAAGTCCTTCCTGATCACAAAAAAGCATTGCCTGAATGCTCTTTTGTACAGCTTGTACTTCCACTGATGAAGGCGCCAGCCCCCAACATTCAGACAGCAAAACAATCTGTAACATGACCCTTCTTTTCATATGTTTTTCTCACTTTAAAGGCACATATGCTTGCTAAATAATCTGGCTGTTTTTGTTTGTTTGCCTATGACAATATAATTTATTTGAATTTGTTGTTGTTGTTTTCTTTTTTGCTTATTATTGCTCTTTGTATAAGTAAATATATTATTTATTTGCTGTTAGGCTTTTTTTGGGTTTATTTTCTTTTGCTTTGCTTGTTTTTCAATTAATTTAAAAATTAACTACACTTTAGGCTCAGAAGCTACTCGTGGTCTTGTTGACAATTTGAAAGAATTTGTGGATAGTTTTTGGAATTCAGGTACAGTAAGCCTTTCTTGTAATAATATTACAGAGTATTCACGCAAGTTTCAATGTAAAAACTGAACTCATTTGAGACCACTGGTAGTTTTGCAATTGCTTTTATTTTAAAGCAATATGATGTTGCTGTTTGTGTCTGCCTAGGGAAGTTTTGAATTCATTATAAATTAGTAAACCTCTTTTTCATCTTTGTGCCAGAAGTCAGCCCTCCTGTGGTGTCTGCGGCTATTAAACCAGAAAATGGTGAGAAGTTGTCCACACCAAGAAAAACACCTATGGAAAAAGTTCGTACAACTCTATCTTTGCTGTTACTTGCAGAATGTATTGTATTTCTAATATAATGACTCCAGGTATTGTTAGATCATTGCCTAAAGAATGTTTTTTGGCTCTTCCATTTTACAGATGCAAGAACGACTGGAGAAATCTCAAGAAGAGCTAATTGAAATGCAGGTAAGATAATTAATTTTTTGTTACTTTTGAGATCTATTAAACATTTTTTGGATGAGGTTTTTGTGATATTTTGGAAATAATCAAGTTCGAGGTAAGTGTTATCAGCCTTGGCCTTCAGCCTGGCTGATACACCATCGTAAGGAACCGATTTGACATTGCTGTTGGAAATCATGCATTGCACGCACAACCTACAGATTAGTCAGTTATCTGCGAGCAGATAACTAACTGATCTGTACATGAAGGTTGCGCTGATTTCTAAAATTTACTATAGGATCTTAGGCAATGAGGAGACAGATAGTGAGTACAATGTATAATAATTTATGTTATTTGAAGTTGTAATAAATAAATTTACAAGCTGTTACATTGATTCTACATGTATAAACCATAACAGTTACACCGTAATAAAAGTACCTAAGTCTACAATGTTTTCTTTGATATAGCAAAGATATCAACGAGAGATAGAAAAGCTTGAACGTGACAACCGCGAACTAAGAAAGCAAGTCATCATTCTTAAGGGTGACAGTATACCAACACCACGCAAGATTAAGGTAAATTGAAATCTCCTTTCTAGCCTTGACCACACCCTGAAGCCTGAATCCTGAAAGATGAACAATTTGCTACATTTAATCTTATTGCCATGTGCTTATTAACTTAATACAAGCTATGTAGCTTTCATGAAATATGTAAGCTGTCATGGAAGTCTGCCATTCTAATTCATTTTCTTAATCAGGAAAAACCCTTTTTTGCATTTATGTACATTTAATAAACAAACTTATTAAGAGTGTGTCCATGAGAGAACCAGGCAGGGGGTGATAATGCTCGAATCACGGATTTCGCTCAAACTTGGCACAATTGATGGGTGTGGTGAGATATTAACCTCGACAAAAAATAAGGTCGCAATATTGAATCCCCTGGGATTTACAAGGACCCCCCTAAAAATGACAAAATCTACTCATTTTTGCATAATTAATTAGTTAACTTTGGTTTGGCTGTTCAACAAGTAGAAGAGACAACTTCAAATCTAATCAACTTTATCATCTTCTATGTTTATCAGACTTAATGCTCAGTAATTTATTTGTAGTCTCTAATTCGATCTCTCCCTATTATTTAGCCTAAAGTAAGGGCATCTTCTCACTGTTTTGACCAAACCCAAATTTTAAGGTATTTTAGTGGCTAACATCTCCCATGAGCAACAACCTATGTACTTAATTCTCACATATTCTTTGAAAGACATCTTTAAGGTTATCAAATCAATCATAAAATAGTTGGGCAATCTCATACTTTATCAATAATGACATATTATGTACATCTGACTTGACGCTTATTTGTCATTTGACCAAAACTGGAAGAAACGTAACATTCGTTTTTTTAAAGAAAAATAGCACAAAGTTGGCGAGAAGTCACAAATCAGATGCCTCATTATCGACACTAATAGAGGAATTGTTAGAAAGTGTCATCTGAGGCATGTTTTCTGTGTTATTTATGGACGTTTTGATGGATATTTTATCGAACGCTTGAGTAAACACAAGGAACAAAAGATTTAGTTCAAAACTTCGATCGGTCTAACTTGTAGCAACAACACCCAACAAGGATAAAAGTTGGTGAATAAATGTTACATACACGTCTCTCAGATGCTTTAGTCCAGATTTGTTGTTCCAGTTTCGTCTGGTCCTCTGTGGCGTTACTTCGTGACGAGGTAATGAAATAACTTGAAACATTGCAAATCTAAAAGTGTCGGCTTTTCACCGAACATTCGAAGTCTTTGAAATAAGTTGTAGTCAGAGGGAACAAAATGATTCCTAAAGGACAAGAAGGATCAGTGACAATCCGTCTGTATCTATGGAAAACAACCACCTGCTCGAACACACTCCATCTTTGACTTTAGACTCCGCCTAAACGATGGAATCTGTGACGTCGGACTACCGGAATGCGGAATGCGGAATGCGGAATACACTATCTATCGTTTGTACGCGCCAATATCCTGTTATAACTGGTGTGTTTAAAATAGGTTGTGAAAGTCGTGTTACTTGACATTTCGAGTTTATTCGATGTTGACATTAATTACCATGATAATAATCGTCCATAATAGCCCTTTTCGTAGTCAGACCATGCCATACAATTTGAGACAATTAATGACTTGACACTGGGTATACTTACTTACTTACTTACTTACTTATATTTTAATCCTCGTAGTCTTTACAACTATACAGGATGGTATCTGTATCTGGGTATATTAGAACTACAAAAATATAATAATAACCGTTTAAAAGTGTTGAGGGAAAACTTATGAGGAATACAAAAGGCCCAAAAGGGGGCACTAATACATTGCAAAAAAAGTCGGCTAGACCTCTTTAGCTATTCAAGGAAGGTGTAAAAGAAAAGTTTCTTGAACACAGAATAATACACTATATTCACTTCTCATTTAACCTGTGATTTGCGGATTCGTACAGTAGAAGTTATCTTAACGGACAAACTCGTATATAGCGGATAGCTCTACTTACGACCGCCATCAGAAAACCCCGTTTCAACTCCCACAAAAACTTTGCATTTTTACATTCCGTAGGCGGCCGCGGACACTCAAAGGGTTTACCGGCGAATTAGATGTTAGCTTTGATTTAAAGCTCTCGTAAGCAGACACCCGAAAGAAAATCCTATCCTCCTCTGAATGTTGTTGTTGTTGTTGTTGTTGTTTTTTTTTTTTTCATATCGTGTCCACAGTTATATCGCTGTTTGTCACTGTTATGAATCATTCTTATATATCCGTTTCAGAGTTACCGTTTTTTCACATACACGTCCGGTTACACTTGAAAATACAAACTGAATTGTATGCTTTGACCTAAATTACAACAAGGCCAGAACAACAGCATAACCATACACTAAAAAACAGTTTTTTGAATTTCCAGTGTTAATTTTTAACTGGGAGAAGCTCCCGTAGGCGGCCATCTAACCTTTACACCTCTTTTAAAGTGGCTGAATTCCACTTTAATAACTATGCTGCATATGAGATTCATTCTTGTAAGCGGCCAGATCCAGTTAAGGACACCTTTTTCTCGTCCCGAGGGCGTCCTCTTACGAGAGCCTCCACTATATTACAATTTTAGGATTTCTCTTACATTTTAACAAATTTTCGTTTAATGACGCACAATCGAACCTCTACTTGTGACCACCCAACTTAAGTGACCACTTCCCAATAAGCGATCACTCATCCAAAACACCAAATATCCGGTCAAAGCACTTGTAGTTGGAACCTCCTGTAAACGAACACATCCACATGCAGTAAACAACCGCGACCACTTTTTACGGTGACAGTCAATGAGAATTTTCCATGATGCAATGGTCTGATCTCTGCGTTCCCTGTATGTCCTGCGCTACTCGGAGTATCAGAGGAACTTTACAAACAAAATAGATTTATCTATAGTATATTGTAACTTAAAAATTGCGTGCAGTACATTCACTCCAAAAAGTAGATATGTCCGCACTTTTCCTGGTTAAAGACCTCCTGCAGGTCGACTCTCGTAAAACCCTTATTTTCCTTGGCCAATCCCATGGGCATTATTTACTGGGTGTCTTCCGACCACGCACGGACCGGAACATCAAATGTCTGTAAACTTAATTGTTGTGTCTGTCCATAATTCAACATCTGCCTGCCTCAGCACGGCACACTAACCTGGGCACTAAACTGGTTTTGGTGCCCCAAGAGTACGCAAAAAGGCCCTTCCGAGGATGTCTAGAACGAGAAAATTGACCTTACCTGGGTAGGGTGAGAAATTTGAAATCGAAGTATTACAGTTGAAGTATCTCTTGAGGGAATGTAGGAAGAGTGTTAAACATATGGAGGCGGTTGTTTGAGAAAAAGATCTAACTCAATGTGAAAGTGTGGTGTATTTTGAATTCTACTTGAGAACATTACTGCCACAATTAGACTTCATAAGACCCCCAAACCGTGCTTGGTAAAAAATTCAGTGTTTATGACAGTCAAATCTGGTGCCAGCAGGGTAGAGCATTTGTACGCAATTTGGCCACTTCCCCGGGGAGGGGGGGACTCCCGTATGACAAAAAAAAATGGAGTTCTTGTCGCAAGCCAATCTGGACATGTCTCACGTTTTATTTGTCTTTTTGAGCTGGTCTGCACCAAGATCCGGCTTCACTTCGCTGTTATTTGACGTGCAACTAAAATAACGAAATGGGCTCATTTTTAATCATGGTCTGAATAAAGTTGCCAATAGATTTGGAATTCTAAAATTTTTATTAGCATACAATAACAATAAAATTATCTCAGAGAATGTCGGAAAGTCATATTTTCAACTGAATTTTGTTCACTGGACTCTTGCTCCTAGCTCCTGGCTCCTGGCTCCCGATACAGTGTTTCCTTATAGTGGCCAACCGCTGCTTAAAAATGCGGGCTCCACTTAATGTCAAAGATGGCGGACGTTTCGTTGTTGTTGTTTGTAAGATGTGAATTGAGCTACAACAGTGGCAGAAATAATTCTTTCCATGGATTAAAAATCGGCTTTCTACTTTTCCTATTGTTTTCTCCTAAAACAACTTGATTTGGATGTTGGTGCGTAAACTGATGGCTAAGGAATTTTAGTAGTACAGCTAGTCACGACGCTGAACTACGCTGAACCACTATGGCTGAACTGGACATCGAAGGTGGCTTGGGGAACAAATCAAAGCGGGCACAAACTAGCAGTTGAGACATCTAAGAGATACGTATATGGATTTTATTGACCGTTTATATTGTTTTTAGGGCAAACTTATTAAAGTAAGTAAAACTGTGAGTTAAATCTTTGTATGTTGTTTTTACTTGAAAAGATCGCGTATATAGCTATCAAAAATAATCGTTAGAGTTTCTTGACAACAATTTCAAAGATTTTACCCTTATTGATGATAAATCATTGTCTGATGAGGTTTTTTGTTCGATTTCTCCTCATTCAAAGGGAAACACACGAATATTGTGAGAGCCTGAATTTTGATGAAATATGCAAAAGTCATTCAGTCACATGAATAGTTTATGTCAACACATGGAAGAAAGTGAATTGCCCAAACTTTTTATGATCTTTTTCTAAACTTAAGTGATGGCTTTAACTACTCATGCAAAAGTTATAAAGATAAGCTGTTGCTCACCAGAGATATTGGGGAATAAAATACCCTAATTTTACGACTTACTCAAAACTTGGAAATGATGACCCAACTCAAGGGGGCTAAGAAGGGGGAAATCGAATCGGCGACTTCAAACAGTTTATTGTGCTTAAAGTCTTATGAACTCAGATTATCTCTCAGTGCATTTAACTTCCAGGTGGCTTTTCTGTTTGTAGCACTGGCATCGTAAAGTTAGCTAATTAATTATGCATAAAACGGCAAAAATGGTGATTTTTACAGGGGGAGCCCAGATCTCCCAGGGAATTTAATATTTTGACCTGAAATTCTGTCATTTAAGTTAACTCCTGATACCTAACATTTGTGCCGAGTTTGAGCGAAATCGGTGATTTGAGCATTATCACCCCCTGCTTGGTTCTACCTGGTTTTCTCATGGACACACTCTTAATTTGGGTAATTATGTGATTTTCACCACCAGTTTCACTCTTCATTGAGCCTTAAATTTTCATGTAGTCCCATAAAATACTTCAAACTGCAGCATAATTTTAAAAGGAGTCAATATATTTTGCAGATTAAACTGAAGTGAAAAATGAGAATGTGAAACTTTTTCAAGATCACTGTTTTATGTGTAACAAAATTTTATTGTTTTTCTTAGAAATCTTTGATTGACATGTATTCTGATGTGTTGGACCTTCTATCAGAGTACGATGCAAGCTACAACACGACTGATCATCTCCCTAGGGTATGTAAATAGTAGGGCGAGATGTTTATAGCGGTTGAGCATGGATGTAAGCTTTGGAACAACTGCATCAGTTAAACACAAAACAATGCTGGCCAGCGGTTTCTCCCAGGGCTGGTGTGCGGGGGTGCCGGGGGTTGCCTGCAGGGGCTTCACATGCTTTACAGCTTGGCAGGGTTGTCATGGATACCCTATGCTTTCGGCTCAGTGTGATTTTTGGCTCCACCTTCCTTTCAGGCACCATTCCCCAAGGTCATCTATTGTTGATAGGTTTAAACAGCCTTGAAGTAAAATATTTGGCCTCAACAAGTTCAATAACTTCATTAAAAAATAAAAATAAAAAAATTAATGTCTAAACACCTACTTGTCTGTGCATTAAAACAATATCATTTATTGTTAGTTTTAGCTTATACTGATTGAAAGGCAGGCGGCAAATAATTTTGTCCACCAATTCTGAAAAATTTTAGTCACAGATCATTGCAGTTTTGGTGGTATCTTTTTTCAGGTTGTAGTAGTTGGTGATCAGAGTGCTGGTAAAACAAGTGTTTTAGAGATGATTGCACAGGCAAGAATCTTTCCAAGGTCAGTTGCTGGAGGTGGCTTTGTGACTTGATCTGCCTCTGGATATACCACTGTCACTGTCATCACTACAGTCATTAGGGAGTTTTAGCATCGACGACATCTACAACAGCGAAATCGTCACTTTTAAAATGACTTAGCGTTTTTCAAACTTTATCACATTAATTCCAATTCACTGAAAATGTCTAATGTAGGTAAATTTCCCTGGAGTTGATTTCTTGGGGACCCACTCATGTTTAGAAAGAGAAAGAAAATTTCTCTGTCGCTTGTTTACATCCTCCATAAAACGTGAAATCAGGCATTTTCACGTCCTAGTCGTGGAGCAACGGCAAAGAAATGTACAAAAAAGTGTGATGTATGTGCAAACTTGATGTTTCGTTTAATAAACCTATTGCTGTTTTGACGTTCTCGTAGCTGTCGCTGTTGTCGTTGCTAAAACTCCCTATTGCATCATCGTCACCATAATGCTCATCATCATCATCATCTTTATCATTGTCATTGTCATCCTCTTCACCATCATCGTTACCATCATCATATTCAATATTTCAATCATCATCACTATCATCATTGTATCATCATTATTGTATGTTTGTCATTTTTTTTTGTCTGCATTTGTGGCAAGACTCCTTCCCAAAATGGTTTGTGCAAATTTTTCATTATTTAAACCACAATAGAATGCAGCCTTACAAATTATGTTACTATCATTAGAGCAATTCTCAGTAACAGACGAGCAAAGTGGGGAATGAAAAATTTTGACTCCCCCTCAAATTTTGTAAGCGATTAGATGTTGAGGCGGGGATCTTTAAAAATGCACTCTGTTCAGGTTGTTGTCTTTCTCAGCAACTGTAAATAAGCATCTTTGTTCAACTTCTTGTGGTTGAATTTATAAAGTGGTTTTTATTTCTTATGTTCAGTGATTTACCCCACCCATCAATTTATTTTGTGCTATCACACTTGCTTAAGGAAAATAATATAAAATACAGAAATCTAGCTAACAATACATTCCGTTATGCTTTTATAACTCTTTGTGTTGGCCTGAAATTCATCCGATTGCTTAGAGTCGTTTTCTCCTCTCAACAACGTCTGAATCGACCAGCCGTTAATGCCGTCCGGTGACGTCACTCACTACCTAAAAACTGGGTAGTGATTTTTATTTTTATTATGTATAATTGTGAAAAATTTTAGCGAGATTGTCGATTGATATTCAGCAGATCGCATCCCTGGCATTCTTTCATTTAGTTCAAACATTTCGATAAGCTTAATCTTTATCTTAAACAGCAAAATTGCCCTTGTCTTCGAAACTGAAATGCTAAATTGAACTGCGAATGAAGAATCATTGTGGAGAGTTGGTGGGTTTTTCATTTAGAGCCGCTTTGTGGTTTCGGCAGCCGGTGATTTTGTTTACGCAAAGTTTTCTGAGATCAATGTTATAATTCGACCTTCTTGCTATTTTTACCGTCAAGTGTAATGATTCTGTTAGCTTTTCTTTCTTGTCTCCTTGTTTTTTTATCTTCGTTAAGGACCACATAGCTTCTTTTCAATTAAAACAAATCATTGTGTTTTTGAACTAAGTGTTCCGTGTGTGTTTATTTCATTGCGTGATTGCGACCGTAGACTACGAGTAGTCCCCCATTTTTCCTCAGGGATAGTAGAGCGAGCGAAACGCGAGCGCGCGTGAAAATCACCCCACGCGAGAAAAGGCGACTCGCGGCGGGGAGAGAGAAAAATGAGGGACTACAGACAAAGCCCAAGCTTTTGAACTAATGCGTTGCTCTCACAACGCAAAACTCCGATTGGCTCTTCCATGGAAATCTGTCAACATCTGTCAATAACGCGCCAGCCGCTATCAACACTCGACATAATCACAATTTACAGAACAAATAACTGGAGCAGAACAAATAACAGCAGAGAACAAATAACTAGTAAGAGTTACTCTTGTAGAAGCAACTAAGAAGAAAGCCAACCCAGCAACTGATGAGGTTCGCGAGGAGAACCGAAACCATGGTCTTGCCTGATCACAAAGTGGGAATAACAGAACAGTCGCAAGGCTGTTAAGCTTATTCAAAAGTTATCACCAAAGAAGAAACAACGCACTCCAGTCCAAAGACTCACATTATCGCCAGAAAAACAAGCGGCAGTGAAAATTCATGAGCAGTCATGACTGGGTCACATTGCAGATCTCCATAGTTGATGTAGTTTTAGTTTAAGCTGCAATCCATTCTTCGAGATTTGGATATCACTATCCGTCCTGCTTAAAACGCTAACGAGCTGGGCCCAGCGTGACAAAACATTGCAGGAAACAGTCACATTCACGGCCAAAAAGAAAATCGCTTAAAATTATTCAGATCCAGGAGGCAATCGCCGGAGAAATTAAACAACCCAAAACCCTTATTTAGCCGCATTGAAGAGCTTTAATTTTCAAGAGAGGTCAAAGAAAATGCTCTTGCATCAGAGGGCAAATCATGCCGACCATAAACAATCACCGCAGAAAATTAATATGCGTGTCACGACCTTTCAGTATAAAATAAGCGGCAAAAATCACATTTGCTCAGTCAAAACGTTTTCCTCCAGAGCATAATCTACCTGTCAGAGAAAAAAAATCATTGGAACAAGCAGTATTTTTGCACGAGTAAAAGTCGTGTGTTGCCTACACTATTAAGTTCTTCACGCGAAACAGCCGTGAAGAAAATTAGTATCTGGATATTCTTTTGCTTGCAATAAATATCCCCCGCAGTTTACCGATGACAGGAGCAATGACAGCTCAACGAGGGGAGGAATTCCATTGGATGCGCTTAATTGATTTGGAAGGGGATACGAACTTCACACTCCAAAATCAGTCGGCCGTGAAGGGTAAAAAGCTTGGGCTTTGTCTGTAGTCCCTCATTTTTCTCTCTCCCCGCCGCGTGTCGCCCTTTCTCGCGTGGGGTGATTTTCACTCGCGCTCGCGTTTTGCTCGCTCTACTATCCCTGAGGAAAAATGGGGGACTGCTCGTAGTCTATTGCGACCGAGTTTGATTGTAGAATTTAGTACAACTGGTTCAGAGTTGTACTGCATGCAGTTCATAGTTTGAACGTCAAACGTGAATTAAAATCGGAAAAAATAAAGCAGTTCTGTATCATGCAGACATTTCCAAACGATATTTCTCAGTTTGCCACTTGAAAATCGTGTTTTACTGGTACTTTTTGCATAAATTAAAGTAAAGGTCAAGGAGTAGTAATGTCACTGGACGACATTAATGGCCGATTGATTCAGATGCTACTGAGGGAGTAATAACGACTCGAAGTAATCGGATGAAATTCAGGCCATCTTTGTGTTTCTTGCTAGTAACGTGGCAGTAATACTTAAATCAGTTTATTTATAGATGATATGAATTCATTTGCAGAGGTTCAGGGCAGATGATGACTCGAGCACCTGTTATGGTAAATAATTTTTTCTATTTTTTGTGAGGCAGGACTGTCACTAAGATTTCAACTTACTGGAGAATTGAACAACTAGGAAGTTCTTTTGTTGCCTATTAAAATAACCATGCGTGGTGCTTATAGTAGCTGGGCAGTTTCCTATCCCCTAGACCTTAGTGTCAGCCCAGTAGATAACAGTGGAACCCCGTAAATACATCCACTATTGGGCCCAAAAAAATTGGCCGTATTAACATAGTGGCCATTTTATTGAGGGCTTTTTTACAAGAAAATGTATGGTGGTTTTTGCCAGGCAGCCAAAAAAAAGGGCCATAGTAATGAGGTGGCCGTAAGGCGGGGTTCCACTGTATCTCATTGGTCATCCATAATTTTTAACCGCGCCTGGTTAGCTCAGTTGGGAGAGCGCCGCTCTGCTGAGTGGGAGGTCGCGGGTTCAAACCCCGGCCGGACCAACACTTAGGGTCTTTCGTTAGAAGAAAGTGCTGCCTTTGTAATGTCATCTGCAAATAGTTAGACTTTCTAGTCTTCTCGGATAAGAACGAAAAACCGTAGGTCCTGTCTCACAACACTTTCACTGATCTGTTCTTGTGGGACGTAAAAGAACCCACACTACTGTTCGAAAAGAGTAAGGGACGTAGACCCCGGTGGTGTGGCCAGCCTTTATGGGTTGTGGGATTGGGTAGGGGTGGCACCTTGCATGGGACCTATGAGTCCTGTTCGTGCCTGTTCCGTCTGGGCAGGCCTGTGTCCAGAAAAGCTTGTAAAACAAATAATCGTATTTCTTAATAATCTAAACCAAAGTTGTGAGGAAGTCCCGGATTTCACAGTTATGAAAAAAATTTAAAGAAGAAATAGAGCAGCTAAAAAATATTATGCCATGCCAAGTGTAGAAATGAATTTTCTATATTTTTTTAGTACGCCTGAACAACGTACTTAGCTTTTTAGCTTGTATTGGATTATGACTGTGAGATGGACGCATTATAAGTCTGACAAACTGACATGGCTTGCTGACAAGAGCATTTGTTATTTGCTATTAAAAACCGGAAGGGACATAACGTAGTTTTATTGAAGACCTGATTTTCAAGCTCATTTGTTTGCAACATGTAAACCTCTTGGCCATGTCTGTAATAGGCGAGTCAAGGTATTTATAAGGCCGAAACAATGGCAACAAATGTAGAACATGGCCGTACTAAGTGTACTAACGTACTAAGACCAAATAGAACACGGAACGTAGAACACAGCCGTACTGACTGTACTAACGTGATTAAGGCAGAATAAACTGCCAACATACATACAACGTGGCCGTACTAAGCATACTAACGTCAGTAGGACACGGTGCCACTTGCTGCAGTCTAATGAAATTTGGTGCAACTTGGTGTAGTTTGGTGCAGCTTGGCTCAATTTGCTGAACCTTGGTGCAGATTGGTGCAACTTGGTAGAAAGTGGTGCAGATTGGTGCAACTTAGTGCATTTTTGTGCAGATTGGTGCAACTTGGTACAGAGTGGTGCAACTTGGTGCAGTTTGGTGCAATTTGGTGCAACTTGGTGCAGTTTGGTGAAACTTAATGCATCTTGGTGCAGTTTGGTGCAATTTGGTGCAGAATGGTGCAATTTGGTGCAACTTGATACAGATTGGTGCAACTTGGTGCAAAGTGGTGCAACTTGGTGCAGTTTGGTGCAATTTGATGCAGTTTGGTGCAACTTGGTGCAGTTTAATGCAGATTTAGGTATTTTAGGTATTTTTATTTATTTGCCACACAATTACATTACTTAAAGATGCTAAAAGAAAAAAAAAATGTAGGAAGAGATGGCGAGGAGGCCTAAAAGAAACTATAGAGCTTATATTAATTAGGCCTCCTCAATTACAATTTTTCGAAGATGGCATAAAAATTACGGCGACGGGTACAGTATAATATCAGGTGAAAAATTAAACTAATCAATATTACGGAAGTTTACATGTACAAATGTTGAATATTAAAAGGCTTTTTCCCAAGATTTTTGTTGAAGTATACTAATAATTATTACAAATAAATGCCTTAAGTGCTCTTTTAAAGGAGAAAGGTGAGGAAGCGTTGATGATGTTGGTGTTTAAGGTGTTGTAAAATTTAGGTCCTTGATAAAAAACGGAAAATTGCTTGGTTCGAGTACGACAGAAAGGCAGACGAAATTTACACGAGTTTCTTGTATTATACGAATGAACTTGACTTTGTAAGGTAAATTTACAATGAAATTTTAAAGGTAGAGTATGGTTTTGATAGGAGTACATGAATAAGCCTAGTTGTATTAAGTATATATCATGAAATTTTAAGATACCAAGATTTTGAAAGATTGGATCAGTATGTGCATCGAAAGTGGTTTTAGCTACAGATTGGTGCAACTTGGTACAGAGTAATGCAACTTGGTGCAGTTTGGTGTAACTTGGAGCAAATTGGTGCAGATTGGTGCAACTTAGTGCAGTTTGGTGCAACTTGGTGCAGATTGGTGCGACTTGGTACAGTGTGGTGCAACTTGGTGCAGTTTGGTGCAACTTGGTGCAGTTTGCTGCAACTTGGTGCAGATTGGTGCAACTTGGTACAACTTGGTGTAGGTTGGTACAACTTGATGCAGTTTGGTGCCCCTTGGTGCAGATTGGTGCAATTTTGTGCAGATTTGTGCAACTTAGTACAGAGTGGTGCAACTTGGTGCAGATTGGTGCAAGTTGTTGCAATTTGGTGCAGATTGGTACAACTTGGTGTAACTTCGTACAGAGTGGTGCAATTTTGTGCAGATTGGTGCACCTTGGTAGAGATTGTTAAAACTTGGTGCAGTGTGGTGGAATTTTATGTAGTTTGATGGTACTTGATGCAGCTTGGTGCAGATTCGGGCAACGTGGTGCAATTTAGTGCAGATTGGTGCAACTTAGTACAGAGTGGTGCAACTTAGTGCAGGATGGTGCAGATTTGTGCAGCTTGGTACAGAGTGGTGCAACGTAATGCAGTTTGGTGCAACTTGGTGTAGTTTGGTGCAGCTTGATGCAGTTTGGTTCGACTTGGTGCAGATTGGTGCATATTGGTGCAGTTTGGTGCAACTTTGTGCAGATTGGTGCAATTTGGTGCAGTTGCGTGCAGATTGGTGCAACTTGTTGCAGAGTGGTGCAACTTGGTACAGTTTGTGGGAACTTGATTTAGTTTGGTGCAACTTGGTGCAGTTTGGTACACCTTGGTGCAGATTGGTTTAACTTGGTGTAGATTGGTGCAGCTTAGTATTGAGTGGTGCAACTTGGTTCAAGCCTTTTAGAGTATTCAGTTTATGCTGCTCATACTCTTCTGTTGCATCACCTGCATCAACCTGCTAACCAATCGACCAATATGCACCAAACTGCAACAAGTTGCACCGGTCTGCAGCAAGTTGCACCAGACTGCACCAAGTTGCACGAAGCTGCACCAAATTGCACCAATCTGCACCAAGTGGGAGTATATTCGCCCTGATAATCATGCTCAACCCACTTATGAAATGACTCCTTGGTTGAAACCTTTTAGAATATTCAGTTTACGTTGTTGAAACTCTTCTTGTGCATCGCTATTAAAGGACAACAGAAGGTCAAGATTGTGTTGATAAAAACGCCAAAACACCGTTTCCCCTCCAGGTTTCGTTCCAATTCTTTCAGTGGTATGAAAACGATTTTCACCTGTGGCCATAATTGGCTAGCAATATTACATTTGTGACCGAAAAAGGGTTGTAATTTGTTTTTCTAATTAACCCTTTCAGGCTGCGGCCGCGACATATTGTAAAACTGTATTGAAACAGCTTGAACAGGGGATTTGAAAGCTCCTGGCCTCAAGTGTGCTGACAGTGCATGTTTTGTTAATGCGGCCATATTCGTGACGTAAGTTAGCATTTTTTAGCCTTGAAAACGTTATTGATACACTAAATACGGCCATGTTCTCAAAAAGGTGGCATTTATTTTTCGGCGTTCGTACGTTAGTATGCTTAATACGGCCATGTTTTACATCTGTTGGTATTAAATTTGGCCTTACTTCGTTTGTACGCTTAGTACGGTCATGTTCTACATATGTTGGTATTTTATTTGACCTTCGTTTGTACGCTTAGTCCGGCCATGTTCTATGTATCGTGTTATTTATTCGGTCTTAGTACGTTAGTACACTTAGTTCAGCCATGTTCTCTGTATGCTGGTTAATTATTTGGCCATAGTACGGCCATGTTCTTTGTACGTTAGTATGGTCAGTACTGCTGTGTTCTACGTTTTTTGGCATTCAATTAGTCTTAGTACGTTAGTACCCTTAGTAAGGCTATGTTCCATTCCACCTTGTTCTAGTTGGTATGCTTAGTACGGCCATGTTCCATTTTCATCTGCATGTATGCATGGCTTTTTTGGGCTTTGTCAGTCATGTTTTACGTCTATCAATTAGTGTTTTCATAAGTTTTGCGGCAAACACAGAGCACAGAATATAGCAAAGACAACTGATAAATAAAAATATGCAGTGACATCACGCTTCACGCTTCACGCCCTCTTTACGCTTAACTTTCTGGAGTAGTAAGTAAAGACATCAGAATCCAGTATACATTGAATTCAATAAACTAACTAATAACTCACTAAATTCCAATTCCCCTATCAGGCGTACTATGCAAAAAAAAAGAATAGAAAGAGGTGCCTAGAACTCACAGCGTATGTTCTTTTCACATAAACAGCGGCTACTTATGATAGATTTGTAACTGTATCTTCTTTTCTTTAAGGTAACATTGAGTGAAGGGCCAAACCACATGGCTCAGTTTAAAGGGAGCTCTCATCGATATGACCTTACTCAAGAAGATGAGGTACATGTTGCAACTTACAGAAGCAAGTAATTTGAATTTCCCAAAAGATTTCACTTTCCCTTAAGGCAATTCAAGAACAGAATTCACTAGCCTGATAACAAAATTTACTATCCTCGGGCTATCGGACACAACTTTCTTTGGTTGCACACTAGAAATGAGAGGGTGTGAACTTATAATTTACCAAGTTGGTGTTAAATGTTGTGAGAAATGAGGAGAATAGTAGAGGAAAAGGGCGGACGTAGGACTGCGGTGTACAAAACAGCTCATCGTTAGCACATGGATGGTAGGGTGGGCAGAAAATGAAGACCTAGAAGCAAAGAGTGGTTAGAGTGACTGTTAAGCTGATTTTGAGGGGAAGGTCATCTTTCCTACTTTAGTCGGGGTTCTGTAAAAAACTAGCCCCTGGTCAAATCTGTTGATAATTGAAGATCTTGTTGTTCCTTGCGTAGGATATGCTGAGATAGCTGTTTTGAGCTATTTTCAAGTGATTTTGAGGGGTTCTTTGTTTTTGAGTCTTTGGTCTTTGGCCTTTGTTTTGTACCCACCCGCAGATGTGAGCTGTGTAATGTTTGTACTCTTTCAGCTTAGAGCCCTCCGACAAGAAATTGAAATTCGAATGCGGAACAGTGTAAAACGTGGACAGACAGTCAGTGGAGAGGTAGGGTTTTTTTTGTAAATAACTTTTCATGTAATTGCTAATAAGCTTACAGTCTTCCTGCGAGGCTTAGAGACCCATTTGTAAGTAGAATAATTATTGTTTGTTATTTTATATCTTTATCTTCCAGGTAATATCACTTAGTGTGAAAGGACCAGGACTTCATCGGATGGTGTTAGTTGATCTTCCAGGAATTATTGGGGTTAGTTTTCCAATAATATATGTACATACATTTGATTGGCTTTCTCTTAAAGCTAGATGAAGTTTTTGCTTGTAGTAAACCATTTGTATTGTTAAAATACATTCGAAGCTCTCCTTTTGACCACTCACGTAAGCGACCAGCTCAAGTTACGACCACCTTTGTGACACCTCGTTTGAACTGTGGCTTCAACTTTGTAATGAAAAGCTCTGGTAAGTGACTGCGACCATTTTTGGGATTACCCAAGGAAACTTTTCCTTTGTTTTTTAGCTCTCGTAGCCGACCACCCTCAATTGTTTTACCATGCGGTCCCTTTTGGGAGCTTCGACTGTAACTCATTTAAGAATTTTTCTTTTGCAGACAGTCACTGCTGGGATGGCAGAAAACACCAGGGGTGATATTGTAGAAATGAGCAGGTACATATTTTATATATTCATGCAGGGTTACTGCCTCCTCCACAGGCCTTCCCAAGGCTCACTGGGGAACACGCGAGAGCTGGAGACAAGCGAGAAGCGCGAGAGGGGGATGATGGGAACGAGCGTAGAGCGCAAGCTTTTTCTCCCCTTCTCATTACTCCCTTCGTCCCCTCCCGCTTTCCCGAAAAAATCAACTCAAAATATCCCCCAAAAATTGATCGCGAGCGACTGAGGACGAGGTTACAAATATATTTTTTCTCATCTTTTTTAAGAAACGACGTTGTCTGCATGCGCAGGTGCGCAAATGAAGTGCAGGCGTTTTCTTCGGGCGCGCGAATCTTTTAGCTCCCTAAAGGCTGATTTCCACTGACGCGTTTTTGGCTACTCACGTTAACGCACGTAAATTTTAATTACGTAAATAAAATAGAGGCAAGATAAAAAGTGCTGAGCTTAAACAAGACGTTGAGCGAGTGTCAACTTTTACGCTTACGAGCGACCTTTCATGCATTTCCTCTATTTTATTTGTGAACGTAAATTTTACGCACATACGCACGTAAAAATTGCGCGACACTGAAAATCAACCCTAATGGTTGCTATTTCTATTCTTTTCAACCTTCCTCCGTCATAAAATCAAAGATGGTGGCTACAACAACAAACATAAAGAAGTTACTATAGTTTTCACCCGCCCAAAATACGCCTGCTGTACAGGCTAGAAAACATTATGCAAGACGTGAGAATTTTTGTGAAAATCTTTGTCTCTGCAACAGAATTTTGTCGCAGGAACAAGACGCGAAAAATCAAATCGGACTGAATTTGTGCGACTTGTTGCGGCGACAAAATTCTGTTGCAGAGACAAAGATTTTCACAAAATTTCTCCAGTACACACGAAGCGATTTGTCGCCGCAACATGTTGGTGCAACATCCTGTATGGACCACATCCTGTATGTGATCATTCAGTCTTTGCATGTTTATGGTCGCTTATGGGAGGTTCGACTGTATTAATATTGATATTAAGTTTGTTGATATAATGTTATGGTTTTTATTTCCTATTTTTTTGTTTAGAAAGTACATGAAGAATCCAAATGCTATCATCTTGTGCATACAAGGTAAGAAAATAAATTCTCTTTTTTGCTGGCCCGGGTTGTTCAAACGTTGGATAGCGCTATCCACCGGATAAATCACTATCCAGCGGATAAGTATTGCGGAAATCAATTACGCTATCCGCTGGATAGTGATTTATCCGGTGGATAGCGCTATCCAACGTTTGAACAACCCGGGCCTGGTGATGATTATGGTAAGTAAAAAGAAAAGTGAATACTGTATGCTATTTGTTCTGCACAACAAAATAATATGCCAAAACAAAATAATAATGAAAAACCAAGGAATCAGCACAAACAAATAACAGAGAGATACTTCAGGGCGTGAAATGAGCTCCCCATTTCTTTGAGTTCTAAACGTTCTAAAACATGTCAGGTAAATCAAAAAAAGGCCATAAGAAGCCGTCAAATCAATCTGCTAATCAGACGGCAGCAGAACAAGCGGAATTATCCGAAACCGAAGAAAGTGTGTCTTTCCGGGATGGCAACGAAGCAATAAACATGGCCGCCGGTCTTCAGGATTTTGAAGTAATTCTGACAAGACGGTTGAAGGAGCAATCTGAGTCTATTCACGATATGATGCTTAAGTACTTCAAGCTTTACAAAGATGATATAGACGAAATTAAACGAAGCCAAGCTTTTGTTGACGCCAAATTCGAAAAGGCTAAGAAGGCAACTGAAGATCTAACTTCGGAGAACCGGCGCCTGAGATCAGAAGTTGATGCCCTGAAAGGGCAGCTTAAACAGTGCGAAATTAAGCTGGAGGAAGTCGAAAACGACAGCGAGGCATTAAAGCAGTATCTTCGTCGTGATATGTTGGAAATACATGGCGTGCCTACGCGACCTGATGAAGAAACAGACGATCTTGTGTGTAAGCTTGTGGAGTTGGTTGATCCTGAGCTTGAGATCTCGTTGGCCGACATTTCTATCAGCCATCGTCTGCCAAGTAGAGAAGGCCGAAATGCCCCTCCAATAATTGTAAAGTTCTGTCGTCGTAATGTCCGTGACCGTTTGTTGAGCAGAAAGAGAGAGTTAAGGAGTAAGACAGCTATGGATCTTGGTTTTACCGAAGAGTTTGACTTGTATATCAACGAGAGCTTGACCCAGAAGAACCGCGAGCTTTTGGCTAAGGTTAAAGAGTTCAAGAGGGTAAATCACTTCAAGTTTGCCTGGACAAAGAATGGCAAAGTTTTGTTGCGTAAAGATGATAACCCAGCATCCCAAGTCTATTCTTTTTTATGTCTATGGCAAATTTTGAGGAGTTCAAGAACTCAAGACAAAGCTAAGTATCGGGCTATATACATTGACAGTTAATTATTAGCCAGTGAAGCCAAATGGCTTCTGACTCTGAGCTCCCTGAGCCTGAGCTCCCTTTTTTCTCATTTAGGCAATAACGATTTTAATATTGCTTTATATGAAATGACGCATGGACCTCTACATTATGATAGCGAACGATTAAGCTCTCTTTTGTACAACCCAATTGATAATTCGTCTGTCTCTAATCAGTTTTTCTTTAATGAGTTAGATCCAGATCAACAGTTTACTTTTTTCTCCTCCTCCTAGTAATTATTATACTGAGGATGAAATTAATGCTAAGCTAACTAATAGTTCAAATTCTCCTTGCTTCTCTGTATTTCATATTAATACACGAAGCCTAATCGGTCATTTAGATAAATTTAAATTCCTGCTTAGTCATTTGCAAAATCCATTTTCTGCCATATGCGTATCGGAAACCTGGCTAACTGAGCTTACGTCGGACCAGGTGGAAATACCTGGATATAAATTTATTTCGAACCACCGCGATAGCAAGTCCGCCGGTGGAGCAGGTCTTTATTTACTTGACGATTTAGAATACAAATTATGCCGCGATTGTAATTATTCTGAACCTGAAGTGATCGAAACTCTTTTGTTGAAATTAACATTCCCAATGGGAAAAATATTATAGTTGGTACTGTTTATCGTCCGCCTAATTATAACACTCGGGACTTTTTGGACAAATTTAATGAGATTCTTGCTAAAATAACTAGAAATGACAAATATTGTTATTTGGGTGGAGACTACAATATAGATCTGTTTCACTATTCCGATCATGCCCCTACTCAAGAATTTGTTGATAGTCTATTTTCCCATATGTTCATTCCTCTAATCAATAGACCGACTCGGATCACTGCTCATTCGGCCACACTTATTGATAATATATTCACGAATAATGTAAGGTGTAAACATTTCAATGGTATTGTTATTAATGATATTTCTGACCATCTACCGGTTTTTGTTTATGAAGTGGATGAGACAGAAATAGCGTCGAAAATAGCCAAACTAAATATCTCACTAAAAGAGATTTTTCAGAAAGAAATAAGAGCAATTTTCGGCTCTCTCTTTCTCGTGTTAATTGGAATTTACGTTTCGATGAAAGCGATACTAATGAATGTTATAATAGTTTTGTGAGTGAGTATGTTCGATTATACAATGAAAGCTTTCCATTAAAAACGATAAAACTTAAAACAAAGAAAGTAATGCGCTCCCCTTGGATAACGCAATCTCTGCTTGTTTCTATCAGGAAAAAGATAAACTCTATAAGCAGTTCATTAACTCTAGGGACTCAACTACTGAGTTAAAATACAAACGCTATCGGAACAAACTGAATCATCTTATAAAAATTGCTAAACGAAAGTACTATGATACAAAATTTGAGAAGGCTAAAAATAACCTGAAAGAAACTTGGAAACTAATCAATGATGTAATCAACAAACCGAGCAGAAAAGCAGCTCTGCCAAATTCCTTTTTCTGATGGAAAACTGTTAAATGATCCACAAGAAATAGCTAACTGCTTTTGTAAGTTCTTCACCAACATAGGTCCGAATTTAGCAAGGAAAATTCCAGACACACAAGTATCTTTTCGTAGTTTTCTTGGCGCTTCTGTTAATGAGTCGCTTATCTTAAATCCAACTAATATTTCGGAACTAAATCAAATATGCAACTCTTTTAAATCTGGAAAGTCGCCTGGATATGATAACGTTTCAATGGATATAATAAAAAGCACCTTTGATCTCATTTCTCAGCCTTTGGCCAATGTAATCAATTTGTCTCTTATTAAAGGAATATTTCCTGATGAACTGAAAATTGCTAAACTGATTCCGGTATTTAAAGCTGGTGATTCCCAGTATTTCACTAACTACCGTCCAATTTCGCTTCTTTCTAATTTTTCTAAATTCTTTGAAAGAGTTATGCACAATCGTATTACAAATTTTTAGATCGTTTAGATATCTTATACTGTTGCCAATTTGGATTTCGTAAAAATATTCTACAGCGCTGTCTTTAATTCATCTTATTAATAAAATTGCAACTGCTATTGACAGAAGCGAATATACAGTTGGCATATTCTTAGACTTATCAAAAGCATTTGATACTTTAGACCATCAAATACTCTTGTCTAAGCTTGAGCATTATGGGATTCATGGGCTAGCACTTAGCTGGTTGAAAAGCTATTTGTCAAATCGCGTGCAGTTTGTCCAGTACAAAGAGACTTGTTCTATTAGGCTGACTCTGAGCTGTGGAGTCCCTCAAGGTTCTATATTAGGACCATTATTGTTTGTTTTGTATATCAATGACCTCCCTTGTGCTACTCGTCTTGCTGAAACTATGCTTTTTGCAGATGATACTAGTGTGTTTTATTCTAATCCCGATTTAAATTGTGCTATTTCTGCCGTAAATAATGATTTATCTCAAATTGATCTTTTATGAAAGCAAATAAGCTCTCTGTTAACATAACGAAAACTAATTATATCATTTTTGCAGCAAGGCAAAAACCAGTCGGCTTCCCAATAAATCCTGTCTTGTACGATGAGGTTTTATTAAAACAAGTAAAGGTAGTTAAATTTTTAGGGGTTTTTATCGACGAGCATCTAACGTGGAAGCCGCATATTACTTATATATGTAAGAAAATTTCAAAATCTATTGGCGTCATGTTTAGGTCTCGTTTCTTTCTTTCTGAAACAACAAAAAGTCTCTTTATTATACCTTAATTTATCCTTATTTAACATATTGTACCACAGTTTGGTCCTCCACTTATGTAACAAACCTTAATAGAATTTTTCTTCTACAAAAGCGAGCAGTACGAATTATTACAAATGCAGATTTTCGCGCGCACTCTGAACCATTATTTTTCCGTTTAAAGATTTTGGACATATACAACATTAATTCATTCTATACTGCACAATTTATGTTTTCATATTATCATCAATTACTGCCACCGCTTTTTTTCGAACCTTTTTGTTACTAGTAGCAATATTCATAATTATAATACTAGAAGTTCCTCGCATTTCCGTTCTCATGCCTGCCGAACTAACACCAAACAATTTTCTATTTTGTTCCAAGGCCCTAAAATTTGGAATTCTTTACCAAACTCAGTCACTTCGATTTTTACATTGCAATCGTTTAAAACGAAAGTTTTTGATTTTCTACTATATCGATAATGCGTCTTGTACTGTCCGTTGTTGTGTGTTGTTATAGTTCTATTGCTTAATATTATTGTAACGAGGGGGCCTCCTCGTACAAGCCTTGTGGTTTTCTGAGGTCCCCTCGCCACATCTTTGTATAATGTAATGCTTGTGTAATCTTTATTGTGGGAAAATAATAAATAAATAAATAAATAAATAATTTTTTGACTGTTGCCGGTCATGCTGAGCGGCCAAAATATATTGACTGTCGTGTGGAATTAGAAGGGGAAGGGGGATACCCTGACTGTTGTTTAAGTCAAAAAAAGGAAACAAGCTTGCAAGAGGTACATGGTGCTAAGTGTGCAGTTCTGAGAAAATGAGTTTAGGGGGAACATTTTTCGTCGACAGATGGTGCCATTGATGCTGAACGAAGCAATGTTACTGATTTAGTGAGCAGTATGGATCCCGCAGGTAAGAAAATTTCATATTTTGTATCCATCCACTGAACCTCAAAGGTGAGTACAGTCCACCCTCTCGAAAGTGGATACCTTTGGGACGGCACTAAGTGCTTGTCATAGAGAGATTTTCGTCTCATAGAGAGTCAAATAAGGGGAGTAGAGAAAACAGGGACCAACTGTAGGTGTCGGTTTTACAAAAGTGTGCATCTTATAGAGGTGTCCAATAAGAGAGAATCAACTGCACTTTCAATGAAAGTCATGCTGTTGGCTTTGCTGGAGTCATGTAAAAAAAAAAATCACTTTATAGGGGTAGCACAATAACTGGTAACCCAGTAGTTTTCACTGAGTGACCCCCAAATGAGAACAGAACCATATAATTCAAATAAACTTAACAAGGTCAAGAATCCCAATCGGTAGGAGCCAAACCAGTTTTATATTTTACAAAACATTACCGAGAGGAGATAAACTCGGGAATACCAAGAACAAATCTAGTCAGCAGTTATTTTATTTAACAGGGCTGTCATTAAGACGCGAGAGCTGGGAATTTCCCCCCGCTACTATAAACGTGGCCCCCGGCTACTTTCTAAGGAATATAGAAGAAAAATAGAACCAAAAGAAATCCCTAGCTGTTTGATTCCCCACCTACTTTTTGTATTTACCCGGCAGCTTAAAATCTTAGCGACAATCCTGGGTTAAGGCGGGAATTGAACTCTGGGTCCCCAGAATGCAATTTCAGCGCTGCCTCCCCCTGTATTTGAGGGTTTGAATCCTTTGAGAACATGGAAAAGGTCTTTTTTAGTAACCTAGATTTCATTTAAAGATTTTTTGACCTCGTAAGATTTATTAGCAGGTGTAAATGAACGTTATTTTTGTTGGCTTTGTTGGGTTTGCAGGAAAGAGGACTATTTTTGTGCTGACTAAAGTTGACTTAGCTGAACAAAATGATGCTAACCCAAGCAGGGTATGACTTTCTATGCTGTTACCGAGATCGAAATACAGTCGAACCTCCTCTAAGCGACCACCCAAAATGCAAAAACTGAGTGGTCACTTACGGGAGGTGCTCGTTTTCAAGAATCGAACCACCGAGGGTCTCTTCCGAGAAGAGGTCTGGGCACATCTATTTTATGGAAGATAATGTTATTGGATGCAATTTCAAGTTACGCCATGTGTAGTTCCATGTTGACTAAGTACCATAGTGCACACAGCGAAAATAGAGACCGGAGAATCCGTGAAAGGGTCCCTTACAAGAGGTTAAAAACAATGGAAAATAATTAACCGTCAGGCCCAAAAAGTAGTCTCGGTCGCTTACAAGGGGTGGTCGTTTACTAGAGGTTCCAACTGTAACGCTTCGACTAGGAAAATTGTTTTATTTTGGATTGGGGGTCATTTATGGAAGGTGGACGGTTACGAGAGCTGGCCGCACATGGCAGTTCGACTGTAGTGCTTATGTAAATTTTCCCGCCTCCATAAAGTTTCCGTTATTTTTCATGGCAGTATTAATACTCTGCGATTACATCTTAGTATTCTGATCATGTTTACCATTTCTGCTTAAATTAATGATCCTGCATTTCACACTGATCTTGTAGATAAAGCAGATACTGGAAGGCAAGTTATTTCCAATGAAGGCTCTGGGCTACTTTGCTGTGGTCACTGGAACTGGTAAACAAATAAAACTTCTTCAAGTCCCTGATAGTTTGATGCCTGTTCGTGAATTTCTAGGGCGTTTAACATAAGGATATGCTAATCTGTGTTGATTCTTGTCTGTTTGTCGGCAGGAAACACAAATGAAGGCATTGATACTATCCGAAGCTATGAAGAAGAATTCTTCAGAAAATCAAAGCTTTTTAAGTGAGTGTCGAAAATACTTCAAAGATATGATAAGTTTATGGAAGTGGTGTTCAAGTCAATAGGAAGGTAGACAGGTATGACAACAGCGCCACTACCAACCAATCAGAGCCAGGAAAAATTGAAAAATTGTCGTATGCATTTTCCCGCGCTTAACACTGATAAGCTACATTGGCCTCAAATTCTGATTGGTTGTTTTGATTCTCTGTCGTTCACCTGATTGACTGAATTCAAACTTTGATTGTAGTTATTGAAGTATAAGGTGACATACATCGCCAAACCGGTGCTGCGTTTTTGATAACAAGGCTTTCAATTAAGTTAATGGTTATTTTTTGTATTTTTGCTTCTTAGGTCTGGAGTATTCAAAGCCAGTCAGATGACAACCCAGAATTTAAGCTTTGCCGTTTCTCACTGTTTCTGGAAAATGGTTCGAGAGTCAATTGAGCAACAAGCAGATTCTTTCAAAGGTTTGTTGTATTGACGCTTTACAACGGTTTCGCTGCTTATCAAATTCGCTACGTTCCAGTTTGCTACCTACATAATTCGTCTCGTTGCCTATTGGCCAAGTCCAAACTTGCACCCTCTGAGGGGCAAGTTTTAATGTGCTTGACTGATTTGGTGTGTGTTCTACTATGTTTTAACCGGTTCTGGAAAAGATAGCTGCCAGCAGGGATCTTTACTTGTCGGAGATTTAAAAACTTAATTAAAAATAAAATTCCTAACAACGCTAAACTGCGACCACTCCCTATTCTTAAAATTTAGACAGGGGACTGCAGGCGCGCGAGTAAGCAGGTCTGTAGAGTGGTGCAATCGGTAAATCCGTAGATCATTGGATCTGTAGATCAATGGATCAGTAGATTTGTAAAACGCTAGATCGGTGAATCTGTAAATCACTAGACGGATCGACGGATCTACAGATCGCGACATCGACGGATCGCTAGATCGGTAGAAATTATGTAGAAATTATGAAATTATGTAGATCTAAAGCAACTGGTCTTGATAATATTTCTGCTAAAATTGTACGTGAATGTGCTGATCTTATTTCAGTTTCACTATGTGATCTCTTTAATAAATCTTTAGTCTCTGGTATATTTCCTGATGATTGGAAATGTGCTAGAGTTACTCCGTTGTTCAAGGAAGGTGAGCCATCTGATCTGAATAATTATCGACCTATTTCTGTCATTTCCGTTATAGCTAAAGTGTTTGAAAGGATTGTTTATGATCAGTTGTATAACTTTTTGACCAATGAAGATATCATTTCTAATCATCAATCGGGTTTTCGCTCGTTACACTCAACTGCAACTGCCCTTCTGGAAGCTACGGATAATTGGGCCTTTAATATTGATCGTGGCAATGTTAATGCTGTGGTTTTCCTCGATTTAAAAAGGCTTTCGACACCGTTGACCACGATATCCTTCTAGCTAAAATGAACCTTTACGGAATACAAGGTACAGCTCTTGATTGGTTTAGGTCGTATTTAACTAATCGTACACAACGATGTCTTGTTAACGGTTCTCTTTCTAGAATCTGCTCTCTTAAATGTGGGGTACCGCAAGGAACAATCCTTGGCCCCTTTTATTTCTTATTTATATTAATGACTTGCCAAACTGCCTTACTTCGTGCCAGCCTAGAATGTATGCCGATGACACCCACATTACTTATGCTGGCGTTGATGTGAATTCAATACAGTTAACTCTGAGTCATGATTTAGATAACCTAAACAAATGGCTTATTTCCAATAAACTTACTTTGAACACTTCTAAAACTGAATTCATGCTAATTGGCTCCAGACAAAAATTGAGTACTTTGTCGAACCCACTTGAGCTCTCGATTAATAATGTTCCGATAGAACACGTTTCCTCTGTCAAATCGCTTGGAATATTTATTGATGAAAATCTACGGTGGCAAACACACATTGATAAATTATCTAAAAGGTCGCTTCCGGAATTGGAGCAATAAAAAGAATTAGACCTTTTGTCCCTCCACCTACCCTTCACTATATATACAACTCACTAATTCAATCTCATTTCGATTATTGCAATCTTGTCTGGGGTAATTGTGGTAAAACATTATTTGACAGGCTACAGAAGCTTCAGAACCGTGCCGCTCGCGTTTTAACCTTCTCTAGCTATGATGCTGATGCTAACCGTTTGATTAGACAACTCGATTGGAAAGACTTGAGCACTCAATCTCAAATACAGAAATCCATAATGGTATACAAGTCTTTAAATGGCCTTGTTCCTGAATATTTATCATCTAAGTTTGTTAAACGAAATGAAACGCGTTACTCCCTGAGGGACTCTGTTAACAAACTATTTGTCCCATTTCCGCGAACTAATTTCATGAAAAACAGCTTTACTTATAGCGGAGCAGTTCTCTGGAACAGCCTACCCTGTCATGTGAGAGAAGCCGAATCTCTTAGTCAATTTAAAAGATTAGTTAATGTTCACTTTTAATGTTATACACGGCATTCATGAAAAACAGGTTTTAGTTAGATTAGTTGTAGTCAGGTTTTGAATTTTGTTTAGGATAGTTAGGTTATTTTTAATTTTTTAAATTCCTGATGGATTTTACCGTGTTTAAATAAAGATTGACTTGACTTGACTTATCTGTAGATCGCTGGATCTTTAGATCGCGAGATCGGTGGATCTGTAGAACGCTATGGATCGGTAGGTCGCTACATGGATAGATCTGTACATCGATAAATCGGTGGAAGTGAAAGTCGATAGATCGGTGGATCTGTAGATCGCTTGATGGGTGGATCTATAGGTCGCTTAATGGGTGGATCTGTAGATCGCTGGATCGATAGATCGCGAAATTGCTGGATCGCTAGATCACTGGACCGGTAGATCGTTAGATCGCTCGATCTGTAGATCGCTCGATCGGTGGATCTGTAGATCGCTGGATCGGTAGATCGCCAGATCGGTGGATCTCAACATTGCTGGATCGCTAGATCACTGGACCAGTAGATCGTTAAATCGCTCGATCTGTAGATCGCCAGATCGGTGGATCTGTAGATCGCTGGATCGGTAGATCGGTAGATCGCTGGATCTGTAGATCACTACATTCGTAGATCTGTAGATCGCCAGATCGGTACATCCTTGCATCGCTTGATCTGTACCTTGCTAGATCGGTGGATCTGTAGATCGCTGGATCGTTAAATCGGTGGATCTGAAGATCACTAGATCGGTGGATCTCTAGGTCGCTAAATCGCTAGATCGCGTGATCTGTAGATTGCTGGATCCGTAGATTGCTTGATTACTGCATCGGTAGATCGCTGGATCGGTAGATCGCTACATCGGTAAATCTCTAGATCTGTAGATCGGTAGATCGCTAAATCGCTGGATCTGTAGATTGCTGGATCGGTAGATCGCTGCATCTGTAGATCGCTGGATCGGTAGATCGCTAGATCGATGCATCCGTAGCTCTCTGGATCGGTAGATCGTTTAATCGCTGGATATGTGGATTGCTAAGTCGGTGGATCTCTAGATCGCTGCATCGGTAGATCGCCCTATCGCCGGATCAGTATATCGCTAGATCGGTGGATCTGAAGATCGGTAGATCGATAGATCGCTGGATCTGTAGATCGCTAGATCGCTAAATCGGTAAATCGCTTGATCGTTTGATCTGCAGATCGCTTAATCGGTAGATTGCTTGATTGCTGGATCGGTAGATCGCTGGATCGGTAAATCGCTAAATCGGTAGATCGGTAGTTCGGTAGATTGGTTGATTGGTGGATCGGTAGATCACTAGATCGCTGGATCTGTAGATTCCTGGATCGGTAGATCGCTGCATCTGTAAATCACTGGGATAGTAGATCGCTCGATCTGTAGATCGCTAAATCGGTGGATCTGTAGATCCCTAGATCGGTGGATCTGTAGATCGCTAGATCGCTTGATCTGGAGATCGCTGAATCGGTAGGTTAGTTGATTGCTGGAACGGTAGATCGCTAGATCGCTGCATCTGTAGATCGTTACATCGGTCGATCTGTAGATCGGTGGGTTGGTACATCGCTGGATCGATAGATCGCTGGATCAGTAGATCGCTAGATCGATGCATCCGTAGCTCTCTGGAACGGTAGATCGCTGGATCGGTAGATCGTTTGATCGCTGAATGTGTGGATCGGTAAATCGGTAGATCGCTAGTTCGCTTGATCTGTAAAAAGCCCTATCGCTGGATTAGTAGATCGCTGGATCTGTAAATCGCTAGATCGGTGGATCTGAAGATCGGAAGATCGATAGATCGCTGGATCTGTAGATCGCTAGATCGGTAAATCGCTTGATCGCTTGATTTGTAGATCGCTTAATCGGTAGATTGCTTGATTGCTGGATCGGTAGATCGCTGGATCGGTAAATCGGTAGATCGCTAGTTCGCTTGATCTGTAGATCGCTGGTTCCGTAGATTGGTTGATTGGTGGATCGGTAGATCACTAGATCGCTGGATCTCTAGATTCCTGGATCAGTAGATCGCTGCATCTGTAGATCGCTAGGATGGTAGATCGCTGGATCTGTAGATCGCTAAATCGGTGGATCTGTAGATCCCTAGATCGGTGGATCTGTAGATCGCTAGATCCCTTGATCTGTAGATCGCTGAATCGGTAGGTTAGTTGATTACTGGATCGGTAGATCGCTGGATCGGTAAATCGGTAGATCGCTAGTTCGCTTGATCTGTAGATCGCTGCTTCGGTAGATTGCTTGATTGGTGGATCGGTAGATCACTAGATCGCTGGATCTGTAGATTCCTGGATCGGTAGATCGCTGCATCTGTAGATCGCTGGAATGGTAGATCGCTGGATCTGTAGATCGCTAAATCGGTAGATCTGTATATCCCTAGATCGGTGGATCTGTAGATCGCTAGATCGCTTGATCTGTAGATCGCTGCATCGGTAGGTTAGTTGATTGCTGGATCGTTAGATCGTTGGATCTGTAGATTGCTGGATCGGTAAATCGCTGCATCTGTAGATCGCTGGATCGTTAGATCGCTAGCTCGGTGGATCTGTAGATCGCTGCATCGATAGATCACTGGATCGGTAGATCGCTAGATCGATGCATTTGTAGCTCTCTGGATCGGTAGATCGCTGGATCGATAGATCCCTAAATCGGTAGATCGCTAGTTCGTTTAATCTGTAGATCGCTGGATCGGTAGATTGGTTGATTCCTGGATCTTTAGATCGCTAGATCGCTGGATCTGTAGATTGTTGGATCGGTAGATCGCTGCATCTGTAGATCGCTAGATCGGTAGATCGCTAGATCGGTGGATCTGTGGATCGCTGGATCGATAGATCGCTGGATCGGTAGATTGCTGGATCTGTAGATCGCTAAATCGGTAGATCTGTAGATCCCTAGATCGGTGGATCTGTAGATCGCTAGATCGCTTGATCTGCAGATCGCTGGATCGGTAGGTTAGTTGATTGCTGGATCGTTAGATCGCTAGATCGCTGGATCTGTAGATCGCTGGATCGGTAGATTGGTTGATTGCTGGATCGTTAGATCGCTAGATCGCTGGATGTGTAGATTCCTGGATCGGTAGATCGCTGCATCCGTAGATCGCTGGATCGGTAGATCGCTAGATGTGTGGATCTGTAGATCGCTGGATCGATAGATCGCTGGATCGGTAGATCGCTGGATCGGTAGATCGCTGGATCTGTAGATCGCTAAATCGGTAGATCTGTATATCCCTAGATCGGTGGATTTGTAGATCGGTAGATCGCTTGATCTGTAGATCGCTGCATCGGTAGGTTAGTTGATTGCTGGATCATTAGATCGGTAGATCGCTGCATCTGTAGATCGCTGGATCGGTAGATCGCTAGATCGGTGGATCTGTAGATCGCTGGATCGATAGATCACTGGATCGGTAGATCGCTAGATCGATGCATTTGTAGCTCTCTGGATTGGTAGATCGCTGGATCCATAGATCCCTAAATCGGTAGATCGCTAGTTCGCTTAATCTGTAGCTCGCTGGATCGGTAGATTGGTTGATTGCTGGATCTTTAGATCGCTAGATCGCTGAATCTGTAGATCGCTGAATCGGTAGATCGCTAGATCGGTGGATCTGTAGATCGCTGGATCGATAGATCGCTGGATCCGTAGATCGCTGGATCTGTAGATCGCTAAATCGGTAGATCTGTATATCCCTAGATCGGTGGATCTGTAGATCGCTAGATCGCTGCATCGGTAGGTTAGTTGATTGCTGGTTCGTTAGATCGCTAGATCGCTAGATCGCTGGATCTGTAGATTGCTGGATCGGTAAATCGCTGGATCTGTAGATCGATAGATCGCTGGATCGGTAGATCGCTGGATCGATAGATCGCTGGATCGGTGGATCTGTAAATCCCTAGATCGGTGGATCTCTAGATCGCTAGATCACTGCATCTGTAGATCGCTGGATCGGTAGATCGCTAGATCGGTGGATCTGTAGATGGCTGGATCGTTAGATCGCTAGATCGATGCATCCGTAGCTCTCTGGATCGGTAGATCGCTGGATCGGTAGATCTCTAAATCGCTAGATCGCTAGTTGGCTTGATTTGTAGATCGCTGGATCAATAGATTGGTTGATTGCTGGATCGTTAGATCGCTAGATCGCTGAATCTGTAGATTGCTGGATCGGTAGATCCCTGCATCTGTAGATCGCTGGATCGGTAGATCACTACATCGGTGGATCTGTAGATCGCTGGATCGATAGATCGCTGGATCGGTATGTTGCTGGATCTGTAGACCGATAAATTGGTAGATCTGTAGATCCCTAGATCGGTGGATCTGTAGATCGCTAGATCGCTTGATCTGTAGATTGCTAGATCGGTAGGTTAGTTGATTGCTGGATCGTTAGATCGCTAGATCGCTGGATCGGTAGATCGCTAGATCGGCGGATCTGTAGAGCGCTGGATCGATAGATCGCTGGATCGGTAGGTCGCTGGATCTGTAGATCGCTAAATCGGTAGATCTGTAGATCCCTAGATCGGTGGATCTTTAGATGGCTAGATCGCTTGATCTGTAGATCGCTTGATCGGTAGATCCCTAATTCGGTAGGTCGCTAGTTGGCTTGATCTGTAGATCGCTGGATCGGTAGATTGGTTGATTAATGGATCGTTAGATCGGTAGATCGCTGGATCTGTAGATTGCTGGATCGATAGATCGCTGCATCTGTAGATCGGTGGATCGGTAGATCGCTACATCGGTGGATCTGTAGATCGCTGGATCGATAGATCGCTGGATCGGTAGGTCGCTGGATCTGTAGATCGCTAAATCGGTAGATCTGTAGATACCTAGATCGGTTGATCTTTAGATCGCTAGATCGCTTGATCTGTAGATCGCTAGATCGGTAGGTTAGTTTATTGCTGAATCGTTAGATCGCTAGATCGCTGGATCTAAAGATTGCTGGATCGGTAAATCGCTGCATCTGTAGATCGCTGGATCGGTAGATCGCTAGCTCGGTGGATCTGTAGATCGCTGGATTGATACATCGCTGGATCGGTAGATCGCTGGATCTGTAGATGGCTAAATCGGTGGATCTGTAAATCCCTAGATCGGTGGATCTGTAGATCGCTAGATCGCTGCATCTGTAGATCGCTGGATCGGTAGATCGCTAGATCGGTGGATCTGTAGATCGCTGGATCGATAGATCGCTGGATCGGTAGATCGCTAGATCGATGCATCCGTAGCTTTCTGGGTCGGTAGATCGCTGGATCGGTAGATCGCTAGTTGGCTTGATCTGTAGATCGCTGGATCGGTAGATTGGTTGATTGCTAGATCGTTACATCGTTAGATCGCTGGATCTGTAGATTGCTGGATTGATAGATCGCTGCATCTGTAGATCGCTGGATCGGTAGATCGCTAGCTCGGTGGATCGGTAGATCGCTAGCTCGGTGGATCTGTAGATCGCTGGATCGATACATCGCTGGATCGGTAGATCGCTGGATCTGTAGATTGATAAATCGGGGGATCTGTAAATCCCTAGATCGGTGGATCTGTAGATCGCTAGATCGCTGCATCTGTAGATCGCTGGATCGGTAGATCGCTAGAGCGGTGGATCTCTAGATCGCTGGATCGATAGATCGCTGGATCGGTAGATCGCTGGATCTGTACATCGCTAAATCGGTGGATCTGTAGATCCCTAGATCGGTGGATCTGTAGATCGCTTGATCGCTGCATCTGTAGATCGGTGGATCGCTAGATCGCTAGATCGGTGGATCTGTAGATCGCTGGATCGGTAGATCGCTTCATCTGTAGATCGCTTAATCGGTGGATCTGTAAATCCCTAGATCGGTGGATCTGTAGATCGCTAGATCGCTGCATCTGTAGATCGCTGCATCGGTAGATCGCTAGATCGGTGGATCTGTAGATCGCTGGATCAATAGATCGCTGGATCGATAGATCGCTGGATCGGTAGATCGCTAGATTGATGCATCCGTAGCTCTCTGGATCGGTAGATCCCTAAATCTGTAGATCGCCAGTTAGCTTGATCTGTAAATTGATGGATCGGTAGATTGGTTCATTGCTGGATTCTTATATCGTTACATCGCTAGATCGCTGGATCTGTAGATTGCTGGATCGGTAGATCGATGCATCTGTAGATCGGTGGATCGGTAGATCGCTACATCGGTGGAACTGTAGATCGCTGGATCGGTAGGTCGCTGGATCTGTAGATCGCTAAATCGGTAGATCTGTAGATCCCTAGATCGATGGATCTTTAGATCCCTAAATGGCGTGATCTTTAGATCGCTAGATCGGTAGGTTAGTTGATTGCTGGATCGTTAGATCGCTAGATCGCTGGATCTGTAGATTGCTGGATCGGTAAATCGCTGGATCTGTAGATCGCTGGATCTGTAGATCGCTGGATCGGTAGGTCGCTGGATCGGTAGATCCCTAAATCGGTACATCGCTAGTTGGCTTGATCTGTAGATCGCTGGATCGGTAGCTTGGTTGATTGCTAGATAGTTACATCGTTAGATTGCTTGATCTGTAGATTGCTGGATCGATAGATCGCTGCATCTGTAGATCGGTGGATCGGTAGATCGCTACATCGCTACATCGGTGGATCTGTAGATCGGTGGATCGATAGATCGCTGGATCGGTAGGTCGCTGGATCTGTAGATCGCTAAATTGGTAGATCTGTAGATCCCTAGATCGGTGGATCTTTAGATCGGTAGATCGCTTGATCTGTAGATCGCTAGATCGGTAGGTTAGTTGATTGCTTGATCGTTAGATCGCTAGATCGCTGGATCTGTAGATTGCTGGATCGGTAAATCGCTGCATCTGTAGATTACTGGATCGGTAAATCGCTGCATCTGTACATCGGTGGATCAGTAGATCGCTAGATCGGCGGATCTGTAGAGAGCTAGATCGATAGATCGCTGGATCGGTAGGTCGCTGGATCTGTAGATCCCTAAATCGGTAGATCTGTAGATCCCTAGATCGGTGGATCTTTAGATCGCTAGATCGCTTGATCTGTAGATCCCTAAATCGGTGGATCGCTAGTGGCTTGATCTGTAGATCGCTGGATCTGTAGATTGCTGGATCGGTAGATCGCTGGATCTGTAGATCGGTGGATCGGTAGATCGCTACATCGGTGGGTCTGTAGATCGCTGGATCGATAGATCGCTGGATCGGTAGGTCGCTGGCTCTGTAGATCGCTAAATCGGTAGATCTGTAGATACCTAGATCGGTGGACCTTTAGATCGCTAGATCGCTTGATCTGTAGATCGCTAGATCGGTAGGTTAGTTGATTGCGGGATCGCTAGATCGCTAGATCGCTGGATCTGAAGATTGCTGGATCGGGAAATCGCTGCATCTGTAGATCGCTGGATCGGTAGATCGCTAGCTCGGTGGATCTGTAGATGGCTGGATCGATACATCGCTGGATCGGTAGATCGTTAGATCTGTAGATGGCTAAATCGGTGGATCTGTAGATCCCTAGATCGGTAGATCTGTAGATCGCTAGATCGCTGGATCGGTAGATCGCTAGATCGGTGGATCTGTAGATCGCTGGATCGATAGATCGCTGGATCGGTAGATCGCTAGATCGATGCATCCGTAGCTCTCTGGATCGGTAGATCGCTGGATCGGTAGATCCCTAAATCGGTAGATCGCTAGTTCGCTTGATCTGTAGATCGCTGGATCGGTAGATTGGTTGATTGCTGGATCGTTAGATCGTTAGATTGCTGGATCTGTAGATTGCTGGATCGGTAGATCGCTGCATCTGTAGATCACTGGATCGGTAGATCGCTAGATCTGTGGATCTGTAGATCGCTGGATCGATAGATCGCTGGATCGGTAGGTTGCTGGATCTGTAGATCGCTAAATTGGTAGATCTGTAGATCCCTAGATCGGTGGATCTTTAGATCGGTAGATCGCTTGATCTGTAGATCGCTAGATCGGTAGGTTAGTTGATTGCTTGATCGTTAGATCGCTAGATCGCTGGATCTGTAGATTGCTGGATCAGTAAATCGCTGCATCTGTAGATTACTGGATCGGGAAATCGCTGCATCTGGAGATCGGTGGATCCGTAGATCGCTAGATTGGTGGATCTGTAGAGCGCTGGATAGATAGATCGCTGGATCGGTAGGTCGCTGGATCTGTAGATCGCTAAATCGGTAGATCTGCAGATCCCTAGATCCGTGAATCTTTAGATCGCTAGATCCCTTGATCTGATCGCTAGATCGGTAGATCCCCAAATTGGTAGATCGCTAGTTGGCTTGATATGTAGATCACTGGATCGGTAGAATGGTTGATTGCTGGATCGTTAGATCGCTAGGTCGCTGGATCTGTAGATTGCTGGATCGGTAGATCGCTGGATTTGTAGATCGGTGGATCGGTAGATCGCTACATCGGTGGATCTGTAGATCGCTGGATCGATAGATCGCTGGATCGGTAGGTTGCTGGATCTGTAGATCCCTAGATCGGTGGATCTTTAGATCGCTAGATCGCTTGATCTGTAGATCGCTAGATCGGTAGGTTAGTTGATTGCTGGATCGTTAGATCGCTGGATCTGTAGATTGCTGAATCGGGAAATCGCTGCATCTGTAGATCGCTGGATCGAAATATCGCTGGATCGGTAGATCGCTGGATCTGTAGATCGCTAAATCGGTGGATCTGTAAATCCCTAGATCGGTGGATCTGTAGATCGCTAGATCGGTGGATCTGTAGATCGCTGGATCGGTAGATCGCTAGATCGATGCATCCGTAGCTCTCTGGATCGGTAGATCCCTAAATCGGTAGATCGCTAGTTGCCTTGATTTGTGGATCGCTGGATCGGTAGATTGGTTGATTGCTGGATCGTTAGATCGCTAGATCGCTAGATCGCTGGATCTGTAGATTGCTGGATCGTTAGATCGCTGCATTTGTAGATCGCTGAATCGGTAGATCGTTACATCGGTGGATCTGTAGATCGCTGTATCGATAGATCGCTGGATCGGTAGGTTGCTGGATCTGTAGATCGCTAAATTGGTAGATCTGTAGATCCCTAGATCGGTGGATCTGTAGATCGCTAGATCGCTTGATCTGTAGATCGCTAGATCGGTAGGTTAGTTGATTGCTGGATCGTTACATCGCTAGATCGCTAGATCTGTAGATTGCTGGATCGGGAAATCGCTGCATCTGTAGATCGCTGGATCGGTAGATCGCTAGATCGGTGGATCTGTAGATCGCTGGATCGAAACATCGCTGGATCGGTAGATCGCTGGATCTGTAGATCGCTAAGTCGGTGGATCTGTAAATCCCTAGATCGGTGGATCTGTAGATCGCTAGATCGGTGGATCTGTAGATCGCTGGATCGATAGATCGCTGGATCGGTAGATCGCTAGATGGATGCATCCGTAGCTCTCTGGATCGATAGATCGCTGGATCGGCAGATCCCTAAATCGGTAGATCGCTAGTTGCCTTGATTTCTAGATCGCTGGCTCGGTAGATTTGTTGATTTCTGGATCGTTAGATCGCTAGATCGCTGGATCTGTAGATTGCTGGATCGGTAGATCGCTGCATTTGTAGATCGCTGGATCGGTAGATCGTTACATCGGTGGATCTGTATATCGCTGTATCGATAGATCCCTGGATCGGTGGGTTGCTGGATCTGTAGATCGCTAAATTGGTAGATCTGTAGATCCCTAGATCGGTGGATCTGTAAATCGCTAGATCGCTTGATCTGTAGATCGCTAGATCGGTAGGTTAGTTGATTGCTGGATCGTTAGATCGCTAGATCGCTGGATCTGTAGATTGCTGGATCGGTAGATTGCTGCATCTGTAGACTCTGGATCGGTAGATCGCGAGATCGGTGGATCTGTAGAGCGCTGGATCGATATATCGCTGGATCGGTAGGTCGCTGGATCTGTAGATCGCTAAATCGGTAGATCTGCAGATCCCTAGATCGGTGGATCTTTAGATCGCTACATCGCTTGATCTGTAGATCGCTAGATCGGTAGATCCGTAAATCGGTAGATAGCTAGTTGGCTTGATCTGTAGATCGCTGGATCGGTAGATTTGTTGATTGCTGGATGGTTAGATCGCTAGATCGCTGGATCTGTAGATTGCTGGATCGGTAGATCGCTGCATCTGTAGATCGGTGGATCGGTGGATCACTACATCGGTGGATCTTTAGATCGGTGGATCGATAGATCGCTGGATCGGTAGGTCGCTGGATCTGTAGATCGCTAAATCGGTAGATCTGTAGATCCCTAGATCGGTGGATCTTTAGATCGCTAGATCGCTTGTTCTGTAGAACGCTAGATCGGTAGGTTAGTTGATTGCTGGATCGTTAGATCGCTAGATCGCTGGATCTGTAGATTGCTGGACCTGTAGATCCCTAAATCGGTAGATCGCTAGTTTGCTTGATTTGTGTATCGCTGGATCGGTAGATTGGTTGATTGCTGGATCGTTAGATCGCTAGATCGCTAGATCGCTAGATCGCTGGATCGGTAGATCGCTGCATCTGTAGATCGCTGGATCGGTAGATCGCTACATTGGTGGATCTGTAGATCGCTGGATCGATAGATCGCTGGATCGGTAGGGTGCTGGATCTGTAGATCGCTAAATTGGTAGATCTGTAGATCCCTAGATCGGTGGATCTGTAGATCGCTAGATCGCTTGATCTCTAGATCGCTAGATCGGTAGGTTAGTTGATTGCTGGATCGTTAGATCGCTAGATCGCTGGATCTGTAGATTGCTGGATCGGGAAATCGCTGCATCTGTAGATCGCTGGATCGGTAGATCGGTAGATCGGTGGATCTGTAGATCGCTGGATCGAAACATCGCTGGATCGGTAGATCGCTGGATCTGTAGATCGCTAAATCGGTGGATCTGTAAATCCCTAGATCGGTGGATCTGTAGATCGCTAAATCGGTGGATCTGTAGATCGCTGGATCGATAGATCGCTAGATCGATGCATCCGTAGCTCTCTGGATCGGTAGATCCTTAAATCGGTAGATCGCTAGTTGGCTTGATTTGTAGATCGCTGGATGGGTAGATTGGTTGATTGCTGGATCGTTAGATCGCTAGATCGCTGGATCTGTAGATTGCTGGATCGGTAGATCGCTGCATTTGTAGATCGCTAGATCGGTAGATCGTTACATCGGTGGATCTGTAGATCGCTGGATCGATAGATCGCTGGATCGGTAGGTTGCTGGATGTGTAGATCGCTAAATTGGCAGATCTGTAGATCCCTAGATCGGTGGATCTGTAGATCGCTAGATCGCTTGATCTGTAGATCGCTAGTTCGGTAGGTTAGTTGATTGCTGGATCGTTAGATCGCTAGATCGCTGGATCTGTAGATTGCTGGATCGGTAGATTGCTGCATCTGTAGACTCTGGATCGGTAGATCGCGAGATCGGTGGATCTGTAGAGCGCTGGATCGATATATCGCTGGATCGGTAGGTCGCTGGATCTGTAGATCGCTAAATCGGTAGATCTGTAGATCCCTAGATCAGTGGATCTTTAGATCGCTACATCGCTTGATCTGTAGATCGCTAGATCGGTAGATCCGTAAATCGGTAGATAGCTAGTTGGCTTGATCTGTAGATCGCTGGATCGGTAGATTTGTTGATTGCTGGATGGTTAGATCGCTAGATCGCTGGATCTGTAGATTGCTGGATCGGTAGATCGCTGCATCTGTAGATCGGTGGATCGGTGGATCACTACATCGGTGGATCTTTAGATCGGTGGATCGATAGATCGCTGGATCGGTAGGTCGCTGGATCTGTAGATCGCTAAATCGGTAGATCTGTAGATCCCTAGATCGGTGGATCTTTAGATCGCTAGATCGCTTGTTCTGTAGAACGCTAGATCGGTAGGTTAGTTGATTGCTGGATCGTTAGATCGCTAGATCGCTGGATCTGTAGATCGCTGGATCGGTAGATTGGTTGATTGCTGGATCGTTAGATCGTTAGATCGCTGGATCTGTAGATCGCTGGATCGGTAGGTCGCTAGGTCGGTGGATCTGTAGATCGCTGGATCGATAGATCGCTGGATCGGTAGATTGCTGGATCTGTAGAGCGCTAAATCGGTAGATCTGTAGATCCGTAGATCGGTGGATCTGTAGATCCCTAGATCGCTTGATCTTTAGATCGCTGGATCGGTAGGTTAGTTGATTGCTGGATTGTTAGATCGTTAGATCGCTGGATCTGTAGATCGCTAGATTGTTCAATCTGTAGATCGGTAGATCGTTGGATCGCTGGATCGGAACATCGCTAGATCCATGGATCTGTAGACCGCTAAATCGGTGGTTCGTTAGTTCGCTGAATCGCTAGATCGGTAGATCGGTGGATCTCTAGATCGCTCAATCGGTAGATCACTACATCGCTTGATCTTTAGATCGGTGGATCGGTAGATTGCTTAATTGCTGGATCGGTAGATCGCTGGATCGCTGGATCTGTAGATTGCTGGATCTGTGGATCGCTGGATCTGTAGATCGCTGGATCTGTAGATGGCTAAATCGGTGGATCTGTAGATCCCTAGATCGGTGGATCTGTAGATCGCTAGATCGCTTGATATGTAGATCGCTGGATCGGTAGGTTAGTTGATTGCTGGATCGGTAGATCGCTAGATCGCTGCATCTGTATATCGCTGTATCAGTAGATCGCCACATCGCTTGATCTGTAGATCGCTGGATCGGTAGATTGCTTGATTGCTGGATCTGTAGATCGCTGGATCGCTGGATCTGTAGATTGCTGGATATGTAGATCGCTAGTTCGGTGGATCAGTAGATCCCTGGGATGGTAGATCGCTGGATCGATAGATCGCTAGATCGCTGGATTGGTAGATCGCTAGATCGATGCATCCGTAGATCTCTGGATCGGTAGATCGCTGGACCGGTAGATCGTTTGATCGCTGGATGTGTGGATCGCTAGATCGGTGGCTCTGTAGATCGCTAGATCGCCCTATCGCCGGATCTGTAGATCGTGGATCTGTAGATCGCTAGATCGCTTGATCTGTAGATCGCTGGATCGGTAGGTTAATTGATTCCTTGATTGGCAGATCGCTAGATCGCTGCATCTGTAGATCGCTAGATCGGTGGATCTGTAGTTCGGTGGGCTGGTAGATCGCTGGATCGATAGATCGCTGGATCGATAGATCGCTGGATCGGTAGATCGCTGGATCGGTAGATCGCTAGATCGATGCATCCGTAGATCTCTGGATCGGTTATCGCTTGATCGTGAGATCGTTTGATCGCTGGATGTGTGGATCGCTAGATCGGTGGATTGGTAGATCGCTGGATGGGTAGATCGATAGATCGCTGGATCTGTAGATCGCTAGATTTGTCGAGCTGTAGATCGCCGGATCGGTAGATCCTTGGATCGCTGGATGGGTGATTTGCTAGATCAGTTGATCTGTAGATCGCTGGATGGGAACATCACTAGATCGCCGGATCTGTAGATCGCTAAAACGGTGATCTGTAGATCACTAGATCGGTGGATCTGTAGATCGCTGAATCGGTAGATCGATTGATCGGGGCATTTATAGATCGCTCGATTTGTAGATCGGTGAATTTTTTAGATCGCTGGATCTGTAGATCACCAGATCGGTGGATCTGTAGATTGCTGGGTCGGTAGATCGCTGGATCGATAGAGCGGTAGATCGCTGGATATGTAGATCGCTAGATCGGTGGATCTGTAGATCGCCGGGTCGGCAGATCGCTAGATCGGTGAATCTGTAGATGGCTGGATCGTTAAATCGCTGGATCTGTAGATCGCTAGATCGGTGGATCTCTAGATCGCTAAATCGCTAGATCGCTTGATCTGTAGATTGCTTGATCGGTAGATTGCTTGGTTTCTTTATCGGTTGATCGCTTAATCGGTAGATCGCTGGATCGGTAGATTGGTTGATTGCTGGATCGGTAGATCGCTTGATCTGTAGATTGCTGGATCGGTAGATCGCTGGATCTGTAGATCGCTAGATCGGTGGGTCTTTAAATCGCTGGGTTGGTAGATCGCTGGATATTTAGATCGGTAGATCGCTAGATCGATGCATCCGTAGATCTCTGGATCGGTAGATCGCTGGATGTGTGGATCGCTAGATCGGTGGTTCTGTAGATCGCTGCTCGGTAGATCGCCTATCGCCGGATCTGTAGATCGCTGGGTCTGTGAATCGCTAGATCGCTGGATCTGTAGATCGCTGGGTTGGTGGATCGCTAGATCGCTGATTCGCTAGATCGCTAGAACGGTGGATCTGTAGATTGGAAGATCGCTAGATCGGTGCATCTGTAGATCTCTGGATCGGTAGATCTGTAGATCGCTGGATCGTTAGATCGGTAGATCGCTGGATGTGTAGATCGTTTGATGGGTGGTTCTTTAGATCGCTAGATCGGTCGATTGCTGGATCGGTAGATCGCTTGATCGGTGGATCTGTAGATCGCTGGATCGGTAGATCGCTAGATCGGTGGATCTGTAGATCGCTTGGGCGGTAGATGGGTAGGTCGCTAGATTGCTGGATCTGTAGGTCGCTAGATCGGTGGATCTGTATATCGCTGGATCGGCAGATCGCTGGATCTGTAGATTGCTGGATCGATAGATGGCTAGATGGCTAGATCTGTAGATCGCTTGATGGGTGGATCTGTAGATTGCTTGATTTTTATTATTTATTTATTTTTATTTTGAATAATATTTATTCAGGGTTTTCCAGGTCAGCGAGGGTTGTTTGAATGGGGCCCTGATGAAAAGAAAAAAATACAGCAATAAAAAGAAACAACAATAACAGATTAAAAAAAATTGAACAACTAAGTATAGCGATGTACATGGTATATAGTATATAGATCGGTCGATCTGTAGATCTCTGGATCGGTAGATCGCTAGATCGCTAGATCGCTGGATCTTTAGATCGCTAGATCACTAGATCGCTGGATCTAAAGATCAGTGGATCAGTAGAAATTATAGGGTAGAGGGAAAAAGTCCGTATTTTATTTCGGTAGCTCGTAATAGTCATCTGACTAACAACTCTGAGGCCGACGGTTCGCTCATTTTACCCCTCTCTCTCCAACAGTAGGGAGCTCAAGCAACAACGTTTTTGAGCGACGCACGTCAACCGGAAGTGGCCTTTTTTCATTTTTTGACAGTGGTTTCGCGCAAATTTTCAGTCAAATCGTCTCTATAACAGTAAAGAAGCTAAGGAATACAAATTTTATATCATCAAGGCATGTTAAGAGGGAAAATACCTCACTTGCGGTTGACGTGCGTCGCTCAAAAACGTTGCTGCTTAAGCTCCCTAGTGCTTCGTTTTACGGGTATTTAAGGCTACTTAAAGCTTTACGGAAAGGAAAGAAGTCGAAAGAAGGATTTGAGGTCACACCTGGGAATCGTACTCGGGACCTACCGCACAGAAGGCCGCGCACTAAACAACTGCGCTAATCCTTCCTCCTAATAGATCTGTAGTCCGTTTGATTGATCGCTACGTCGGTTGATCTGTAGGTCAATGGATGAGTAGATCTCATTCTGTAGATCGACGGATCGGTGGATTTGTAGATCTGTAGATCAGTGGATCAGTAGATCTGTAGTTTGGTGGATTGCTAGAACGGTGGATCTGTATATTAAGTTATTGGATGAATGGGTCTTTCATGACTAAGGAGAGCGGAAGCCTTAACAGCACGTTGTCATTTTCGTGTCTTGCGGTTTTTTCTTGATGGACGTAGAAAAAAAGAGAGACTGCTCGTAGACTATAACAAGGACAGTAACAATAAGATAAAATGATGATAAAGAATGTGAAGTGGGATAAATTATTGGCCTAACAAAAGACACATCGTAAAAGGGGTGTTTACTCGCTGGAAGTAAATAAGCGTGTAGTAATAAAAGCGTGTGTTTTTTGTTTCAGCCAAAAGGTTTAACCTTGAAACAGAATGGAAAAACTTCTTTCCAAAGCTACGAGAGTTGGACAGGGTAAGTTAAAGGTCACGTTATTTTGTGTTCTGTCATAGTTACTCCATTTGACAAGGGAATATTATAGTCGAGTAAGGAATATCTGCTTCAGCTGGGTGGGTGTCCTGTGTCTCCTTTGCCTCTCAACTTTATTATAAACTGGGTGTGACGAGCGAGCACTGTCTTATTTCTTATTACCAAATCACTGCTAAAGTAAAACGTCAGGATCGTAAAGACAAAGGCCATCACTAAACGATACATTATGTTTTGATTTCAAGTAAATTTGTACCGTAAATGTCTGTAGAGAAGTGTGTAGAATTAGCAAGTTGATAGCGGGGTTTACCCATGTACATGTCCCTAAAGCCTCACTTTCGAGGTCAATTGAAGCAAAATTTCCACATTTTATTTTATAAAATGCTAAAGAAAACCTTAGTACCATGTGAATGTGCTGGCAAATAGGGTTCATTTGAATGGTCGTACCTCAGAATTTCGTCCACAGACTCGAAGGTTACAACCACCTTACAAGATGCCATCATTAACTTTGGGATTGAAAGGGTTAACAGAGTGAATTTGTTTGATAATGATCTTCTATAAATTGGTCTCTTTACAGAATGAGCTCTTTGATAAAGCTCGTAATGAAATCCTGGATGAGGTGCTTACACTCAGTGAAATCACACCTCAGATGTGGGAAGACATCATTACTAAGCATCTGTGGTCAGAGGTCGCTTCACACTTCATAGAAAACATTTACCTTCCCGCGGCGCAAGCTAATAATCCCAGTAATTTCAGCACTTCTGTGGACATCAAGCTTAAACAGTGGGCGGACAGAACACTTCCGAATATTTCGGTCAAGGTATGTGAAGTGTATTGAAATCATTTTAGCTTCACCGTCACGTTTACCTTATTTTCTGTGCTTTTACTGTTACGTAACAGGAAAATGGTCGTTATCTCTGCGTAATGACCACGTGATATGTCTGACCCTAGGTCCCAGGCACCTATCTTTTTAGAGCTAATGAACGTCGTGGAATGTCCTTGTTTGTATTCTTGCCTCTTTTCTGTTGACCTAAACGTGACATACTTAGGTTTAGGGCGTAACTTATACCCATTTATTTACTCATTCTTGAAGGATTCCCTTGCTTATAAAGGTGCAATCTTGTGGAAAACTACTAGTTTGAATGAGTATGGAGTCTCCAATAGAAACCAGAATGAGATGTACCATCGATTGAAAACAAAAGCTTATTTCACAGACTTCAAATTCAATGTTGTGTCACCTTAAACTGTCCGGTATCAAAGTGATGATTTTATTTTACAATAATTGATCGTTTTTTGCTGTAGATATTGCACATATCTGATGTTAGCTTTTCTATTTTCTTTCTTAATTAATAGATTTCCTTATATTACACACAACCCCACAAGCTCGTTGGTTCTTATCATTATCCTGTAAAAATAAAAGTCTTCTTCTTCTTCTTCTTTGGATGCTTATTCCGAAGCGCGGCTTGTGCGTACAACGCACTTGTATTGAAAGTTTGTTTCTTCTCTTGCAGGTTGGTTGGGAAACGCTGTTCGGGGAGTTCTACAAGGCGATGCAGGTAGACGTTTGTTAAATTGTTTTGATCCTTTTATCGTTAGTTCTGTGCAGATTCGCCGAAGGAAATAGTTTTTACCTATTCCCTCTCACAAACCTGGCCGGAAGAAAAGGGTGAAGAGATTATATTAGACTTAATTAGATTTTACACTTCATTTGTTGTTGTGGCTTAAAAGTTCTCAATATTTTGCTTAGCTGCCCAGGACAGGCTCTCTCTCCTCCACAGAAAGGCATCTTTAGGGAGTTCACGCAACAACGACGGCGACAGCTACAAAATCGTCACTTAAAAAGTGAAGTCGCGCAACTTCAAACTTTATCGCGCTTATTCCATCTCGTTTAATTCGTCGAATGTTGGCAAATTTGGACTGTTTCAAACTTCAAGAAAACTGGGAAAAGAAACTTGTTGTCTTGTGTTCCCGTCCTCGACAATAGTTGAAATTAGACACTTTCACGTTGCCGTCATGCAACGACGGCTAAGACCCTGTTTACATGGAGTGGGGGACCCCGGTCTAGTGGGGTAGTTTCCTTTTGTTTTGTGTCCCCCAGAGCGTGAAAACAAAAGAAACCAACCCCACTAGACCGGGGTCCCCCACTCCATGTAAACAGGCCCTAAGAAATGTAGAAAAAAGGGTGATGCACGTGCCAAGTTGTTATTTTGCCAATCTAAATCTATTGTTTTTTTGCCGTTGCCGTCGTCTTTGCTTAAGCTCCCTTTGGTGTCCTAGGGAGGCTGGAAAAATGGATTATTGTTATTTTTGTTGGAATACCCGGTGGGAGCCTCTGCGGAGGAGAGGGAGAGGCTTGTTTTCGAAAAGTGACTTAGTTGTTTGTTGTCATGGTTTAGGAGCAAAAGAATGAGAATGGACACAGTCATTTGTTTGAAGAGTTGAAATCCGAACTATCAGATGAATGTAAAAAGAGTCACGTGTGGCAGCCCAAAGCAGTCGACAGCCTGGTAAGATTAAAACAAGTGTAAATAACTTTCGGTATTGTTGTTGTTGTTGTTGTTGTTTTTTCTATGCTGAAGATCAAAACTATGATAAAGTTAACGACTTTATTCCTGCCTCACAAACGGGGCAAAAAAATAACGATTCAATGGTATAATGGTGAATCTGCCCATGCAATATTCCATCGACGTTTTAAATTAAAGAATTTGTAACCCTTGACTTTGTAGAGGATTTTGTGCATAAAAATAAATTTTTATCTACGTCGAATTTACTACCTTTTTAATGTACATAGCGTGTAATTCAACTGACGGCGCTCGAAGACTGGTCTGTAAGTGAAAAACAGCAATGGGACTCTGCAGTGAAATTCATGGAAAATACCCTGCAGGGGGAATTGGATAAAGGTAATAAGGATTTGTGTGAATACTAATATACTAACATCATTAGCTCTCAAGGGGTCCTAGATCAAAATGGAGACTTAAATATCCTTGAGTTTGAAACAACATGTTACTGAGCGTAGAAAAGTCACTACTGATACTCAAAAGTGTTGGGAAGGCTACTGCTTTTAACCTCTTTTTTTTCTCCTTCCTCCCCCCCTCCCCTCCCGACCCAATGTTGTACAAAACTAAGTGTTTGTGGGCGTAATTGTTCTGTTGTTTGCCAACATTCGAACATTGAATCGGAGGGACGGAAGAGGGGGAACATTTTTTTAGCAAAAGGCTAGTAGTGGCTTTCATGTGAATGGTGACACCGTAGGATTTCATCTACAGAGTCAAAATTTAGAACCAATTTGTACAGCATAATAAACAGTACCACAGGAAAGTACTGCTCAGTAGCTGTCATTTGAATGGTCGGTCACACCATAGGATTTCATCCACAGACTCAAAAGTTAGAACCACCTTGTACAGCATAATAAACAGCACCACAGGAAAGAACTACTCAGTAATTCGAATCGTGACACACTGTGGGATTTCGTCCACGCAGTCAAAAGTTACAACCATCAACTAGAGGAAAATAAATACTACCAGAGGAAAGTTGTGAAGTGTCAGAAGTTTGCTGTTGAAACATGAAGCACACTAACTAATATGCTTGATAACTTTTCTAATATTTTAGCCTCCCAGATAATGTACGAGTTGCTTGGCCCCGGGGCAGCTGAAAGATGGCTATACTGGAGATCAAGAACAAGAGAGCAAGTAAGTTTATCTTTTAACTGCTGAAAAAAAAAACGCTATTTTGTCTCCGTTTACTTTAAATTTCTTCTCCGAAATATTTTTTGTCAACTATATTCATTGGTTTCTATAGAGAAATTCCATGACAATTTAATTCAACAACACGGTGTTCTTAACGTTACTTAAAACCCTTTTTTCCCTTCGTATCTTGATTCTGTGTGGCAAGCTTTGGTTGATTTATGGCGAGAAACAGAGGAATAGAAACGATATGCAAGGAAGTCTTTTTACCCACCTTTTGAAAACTCCTCCTGTTTTTTTCCTTGTTCTTTTAGCAATCCCGCTGTTATATTAAAGACGAGCTTCAACGATTGCTTCAAGCAAACGATGTAAGTAAGGTGTTTTAGCATAAGCTTTCAATAGTCTACGTAGTTGTCTCTGCGTTAGGATTGTTGTTTATGCAGATCTGAGTGAAGTAAGAGCATGGACGTTATTGTGAGAGAATTGTGTCGTTTTTATTTTTGTTTGTTTAAATTTTCCCACAGCATCACGGGCCTACTCTTGCCGATGATGAACTCACCACCGTCAGAAAAAATCTAGAAACAATTAATGTGGAGGTTTCCTCCGATCTGGTACGTGGATTTATCTTTGTAATCCGTAAGGGTAGATTATCCTTTCTACTGTTTGTTCCCATTTATTTGACGACTTTTATGGGTACGATAAGGATTGAGCTTCGCCAAAGCATAGTCATTAATGTGGAATGGCCGGTTATGAAACCCGTTAGACTCCTTTGTTATATGTTTTTGTTAGCTTTTTGGACCTGACTTGGCCGTGCTCAAGGTTCAATAGCATTCCTATCATTTAAACTTACGGACCAAATGAATAGAAACATGGCGTTAATTTATTCATTCACAATCTGTGAACAAAAAACAAATCATTGTGCACGGTCAGGGAGCCTCCAACATAAAGCACAGCACTGTTGTTTTCAACTTTTATGTTTTCCGGCTTTCCTAAACAGTTTCCTCTACTAAGCATCTGACCACCTACCTAAAAATCCCTGTGATATCCCCCCCGGGCCAGGGGGCCCAGTTATCTGCGTCATACTTTTGTTTTTGGTACGTTATGCTTACAGTGTGACGCCTTTTACGTTTGTCTACGGTGGAGGACTATGGCAGTTTGTCGCCATCGAAAACTGTATGCAAAAGATGAGACAAGGGCTATTTTGAATGCAGAATGGCCACTTTGCTATGCTTCTAGGAAATTTACAGCTAGTATTAACTGAAGGTTGTTGTTGTTGGTGTGAGCTGGAATTACTTTTTTCTACCTCCTAGGTTAATGAAACTTGGCGACAATTGTACCGCGAGCATTTTCTAAAGCAGTCGTTAAACAATGTTCAAGAGTGCAGAAATGGTTTCTACAGACGAGATCTAGTTAAGAACGAGGTAAACTCTTTAATCTGAGCACTTTAAAATGCGTCTTTGCAAGTGAATCGCCCAAATAACAACTGGTTAAAGGGGATATTGCTGTTCTAAGTCCGTTCTGTGCTGAATTCATTAATTAATGCCTTTACCCGTTCACAAAATTAAAGCTGCTGTGGAGTTATGAAGAAGATATCGAACGAATTTCATCAGGAAGCACCAACCATAATATTTTGGTGATAGTTTTTGCTGTCATTTCATTAAAACTTGAAAAAGTTGGCCCAAATATTTCAAGTTTCTTAATCCATATTGATCCTTGCCATCCGCTCCAACAGAGGAGAGTAAAAGTGTCCATGCCTAATCATAGACTTAAATCACAAAACTGGACCATTAGTTTCAGAATTCAATTAATGTGAAGACCTTGCCCCTTGAAAGGGAATCCAAGACAGTCTTGGATTCTGGATTCCACCCCTTGGATCCAGCATTCAAGGTACTGGATTCCAGATTCCAATCAGTAGTGAGGTTCCGGATTCCTTGATTTGTATTCCGCGTTTCAACGCCCAAGATTCTAGAATCCACAAACAAACGTTTCCCAGATTCCGGAATCCGGATTCCCTTGAGGCATCGCCCCATGTATTCCAGAATCCAAGACAGTCTTGGATTCTGGATTCCTCACCGTATATTCTTGAGTCCAGATACGGGATTCTATATTCTTTGTCAGTGGAATTGGGATCCCGGATTTCAATCGTTGATGGGATTTTGGATTCCTTGAGCTGTATTCCGGATTCCAATGCCCAGGATTCCAGATTCCACAAGCAAAAATTTCCCGGATTCCCGAATCCGGATTTGCTTACATGAGGCGAAAGACATGTTTTAGCTTTTTAACCCTCTTATTCCCGATAGTGACCAACATCAATTTTCTCCTAACGATATCCATAAAATGTCAAGAGATTAGGTTATGAGAATTAATAAAATGATCACCAAAGAGAAAATGCCAGGTCTTTTATTAAATTCTCACCACTGATTCTTAAAGAAAATGTATGGAGATCAGTTTGGAGAATTTGTATGTGGATGTTAGGGCTTAAAGGGTAGCAGACAGCGTGACATAGCCCTTTATTTGTATTTTCCTTCTCTGTTCAGCTGGGCTGCAACGACGTGGTCCTTTTCTGGAGAATTCAGAAAATGCTTCAAACGACGAGCAACGCCATCAGGCAACAAGTAATGAATCATGAAGGTAAAACGTTAATCTGCACTGAAGTTACAAAAGATTCTAACAACCATCAGAAAATTTAGCCCAGTCAGCGATCATTTGCAATTTTTTACTGAACGGGCGCAGCCAATCATTTCTCTGCCGCATTCAGCGCGCGAATGCCAGTGGCGGGAAAATTTGTTCCATGGGGTACCGCCGGTAGTGGCGAGAAAACGCCGTGCCACTTTCGTTTGCTTGGAGTATTATTCAGTATTTCCTCTATGGATGCTTCTGGACAGGGTTCGTACGGGTCATGGAAAACCTGGAATTTCTTGAAATTTACGAATTTCAATTTCCAGGACTGGGGTCAATTAAATAAAACTTCAACAAGTGGAATTTACAAGTGTAGCTATTGTTTTGAGACCCTGAAACAATGGCAACACTTGTAAATTACACTTGTAAAAGTTTTATTAAATTGACCCCTGGAAAATCATGAAATTTAGTAGCCTGTCATAGAAAGTCATGGAAACTACGTTTGGTAGATTAGTTTCTGATGTCAAATCAAAGACAAAGTAAAATAGAGACAAGTAATTAAACTGCGCGAAGGGCACGCATTTTAGTGAAGATCAGAGTTTGTTCGTTGAAAAGAGTTAGGTCAAAAAATATTCCAAAAAAAAGAATAGTTGACTTTCAAAATGGAGAACTTTGAAAGGCTCGTGGAAAAAGTCATTGAAAGTCACAGAATTCAAAGAGGTCAAAAGAGTGGGTACCCTGTGAAGGATTATCGTTCCAACGTTTTCTTTTTTCTGAAGGGATTCCATTATTTTCTTTATTCAAAAATTCTTACCTGCTCAAATGTTTCACTCTTTTTTGTAGCTCGCCGATTAGAAAAAGAGGTGAAACAAGTGCTAGATGAAATAAGTTACGACTCGGCAGCTAAAGAAAGACTTATTCGGGGAAGACAAGTTGATCTAGCTGAAGAACTAAGTAAGTGAAATGCAAGATGCAGTCGTCGCGCGCATGTTGTAGTAATTTGTACAGTGTGACGTCAAAAGACCTCTCTTTAAAAAAGGTGCTTGTATTGGAGAGGTACAGAGAGCTATAAGTTTGTGGAACCTAAAAATGGAGATTAGGCTATTTCAGGTCTCTTCTCGCAAAAAGAAAATTCATCTCTGTGCGACACTGAATAAGTTTAAAAACTGAAAAATAACCCTTTCAGAAGATAAACTTCAGCGCCTTTGTGTGGTAGTTTCGAAATAACCTGAGATATTTTGTTTTGTGGGATTTTGAAAGCAAATAGATAGAGTAAAGTCTGAAAATATTTTCCACGCTTAGCACATCCAGAAGTTAGATTCAAACAGATTATCTAGCCAGCCGGGTTGTTTTAATTGACAAAAGATCCAGCTGAGACCAAATGAATAGTCTTCTTTATGAGAGGTGTCTTTGCAAGTTATTATCGCTTTTGGAACTAACTACAATGGCGACTGCTTTATGTCCTCTATTTTACTATCAGGAGCAATGTCCGTCCATGCTTTGTCACCTATTTAACCGTTTTCCTGCTAACTCAATATAATTAATGATTAACTGTTAGTGATCGCAGTGTCCAATGGATTGCTGAATATAATTATAACCACCAACATTATTTTCTGTCTCGTGAATTTTCATTGATGCAGGAATTGGAATTCTGTTCGCCAGCCTCGATAGAAACAGCCTTAGGCTCTGAGCTTGGTATCAGTATTGTTTGTATTTCTAGCAGTTTAGAAAAAAAATGTTTCCTTTGTAACAGTATAGTTTTAATGCCTCCAATGTAGTTATTAAAAATTTGTACCTGTGTCTAATGCATTCAACCTTTTGTCGCCTGCTTTAAAATCAATGGTATTTGTTTTTGGTTTTATTTTCAGAGCGTGTAAGACACATTCAGGAAAGTTTGGAACAATTCATCGAGTCTTTAAACAATGAAAAGTAGGACAGCTATAGCGAAGGTGCTACAGTGGAGCAAAGATCTGAGATTTTTTGCACATTTTCTCTCTCTTTGGATCTCGATTTGTTGTGGAATTTCTTGGTTAGACGACAAGGCGAAGACGAAGCCACCTAGTGATTGTACATGTTGTTGCGGACATTGTAAAGCTATTAACGTAATTATCAATCGAAACAATCACGCCTTCATTTTTACACGCTGAATACTTGGCTGTTCAAGTTTGTGTGTGAATTTGAAGCTGAAAGATACGTTTCAGTGATTTATTTTCATGTGTGTGGTTGGTGTAATCTTCAATACGTAAAATTCCTTGTTCAGGTAATTAAGTATGGAATTTTAGAGTATCATATATATAATAAACCATTCTATAAAAGGAAAGGTGTAAGTCGTAAACGTGCGAGTCTTTATTTACAAAGCGCAAAAATTAAATTCCAGACCTTGTGCTTGACTTGAAATTTATTATGATGTGGAGTGAGCTATTAAGCTGCTTAAGGTACACTATATTTCCAACTCTCGTGTACGAGGGAAACCAATATGTATTATCTGGAGGATAACATTATCTTAACACCCCTTGAACGACTGGAACCAGCTAATTATGCTTGCTTTCTATGCATTATAAAAAAAACGTCTGAGTTGTACTTTCCTTTTTACCATCTACTGCGCTGTGGAAGGAGGATTTTGCGCTTGATTCGGAAGATATTAAACACTGCCTTACAACTAACCTGATTTTACCTATAAAAAGCAATATTTTTTCTTCCTGTGTTCTGCCTTTATATTGGTGAGGTCTATATTAACAAACACCACAGTTAATTCCTCGGCAGTTTTTTCCTCGCTAGCCGATTCCAATCGTTTACAGCCTTCACAAGTAAACATCCCTGTGTAGTGAGCTAACTTAAGCTCTTCAAGGAGCTGTGTTAAGTAAGAATCTTAACAAAATTCTAACCGTAGTAGCTGCCGCCAAATTGAGTGAAACAAAAACAAATAACTACTCAAGACATTAAAAGGAAGTTTAGATAACGCAGCTGAGACAAAAGAAGTCCCGGATGGACAGGCTTGAATAAGATTAAAACCGATTGAAGTGGAAAACTTGTTAGCCTAGCGGTTTTTCAAGGTTCATTAGTTTTGGTGTGTGTAACATTCGGTATAATGGCGGCTTGGGAAGTATATTGCATGCTGCAAAGAGTATCTGGTGCATCCGATTGAGAGAGACGGTAATTTTGCTTCGTTTCTTAAGTACTCACAATTGGAACATTTGTTACTCTTTTAGACAAGAGAGAAGCGTGCGTCGATGCGCAAAAAATGTACTCAAAGATCTCCCATTCCGATAGTTCCATTGAAACGCAAAAATGAAGGATACTGATCTTTGAACTAATCCAGGGCTTGTATATTTATATTCATCCCTCAGCCCCGTCCCTTCCCCCCACCATCACCAATACACGCACTGTGTTCACACTGAGTATAATTTGTGCTTGAAAGAACAAACGCAACACTTTAGTTAGCGTGATGAGGTATGACATCGTTTACAGTTGTCTATTGCCACTGCCAATGTTAAACCACTCGTTCATGTTAAATTCTCGCCTGCTTAAGGTTTCAAGTTTATTGTCAAAACTCAATCATACACCTGCATTTACGTTTTCCCTTATCTTTTAGCGACTTTCTCGCCTCGTTATATATTGGCTTTTGATTGCCTGTCACACGTTTTTAGTGTTAGAATATGAAATACACTAAGGAATCTCTTTTTAAGCAATGCAAACCGAATTTCCCACGGGTATCTCTTGTTTCCTGCTTTCCGCCGAGACGCGTGCGCAAGTTGAAATGAATGAAGTTGACGTTTAACATGTTAAAGTTTAATAGCAATGCCACTTTATGGGTGAGCATATCAATATACTGCCCAATCTGCAGTGAATTCGTTGCCCGTTTCAACCTTTGAAAATGGAAAACACCCTATCTGAGGTAGGTATGATCAGCACAATCACCCATATCTATTTTAATTTGTGCAATGTGTCATTTTTCACTCGTCGAAGAACTTACTTTTGAATGAAAAGTCTTTGTGTTGCTTAATTTAGAAGATACAGGAGGCTGCAAAGCGAAAGAAGAGAAAGCAAGGCGTAGAAAAACGACGAAGAGACAAGATCAAGAAAAGTTTGGGTGAACTATCCCTTCTTGTTCCGGAAGCTAGAAAACAGGTTACAGATCTCTCTCTTTTTCCGTACAAAATAATGAAAACTTGCATGAATTAATATAATCATTTGAATTTTCCCTTCAGAAAGAATGGTTAATTATACTCAAAGAGAAGAGCTTTAGCTAGCTTTAAACTATTTTCTTTTCTTTTGCTTCGCCTTACACAGATCAGATACCGTTTCTTCCAAAAAGCAGCAGGCAACTCGATCGTAACTGTAACTTTATATTAGTTTTTGAATAAGTGAAAGTAACAACCTCAACTTAGCTTTTCCGAATTCCTCTTGTTAAACCACGTACAGTGAAGGTAGATCCAGGATATGGGAAAACAAGAAGATCATGGAAAACAGATAGCCTACTACATAGTAGCCTGCGTGGCAGGCGTTTGAAAGGGAAGGGAAAGGGAGTTTCATGTGCGAGAGAAACGCGAGGGGCACGCCCCTCGCGTTTCCCTCGCGCCTAAAACCCCCTTTCCCTTCCCTTTCAAACGCCTGCCACGCAGGCTAACTACATAGTCGATCCATTCTTTGTGTCGTCGTCCGTTAAGACACAAGCAAAGACTCTGTTTATCTCGTACCCAGATCTTACTCTCTCTTACGCTGAAAAGTGTCTCCCTTGGCCGCGGGAGATCTGGGTACCAGATTAGAAACTAGGCTCGATTTCCGGCACCTTCTCGGTCTTCCCCGAGAAGCATGACAAGAAGAGACTGTTCGGGTGAGAAGCGCGGGCACATTTCCCGAACAGCGGCTGGTAATCGAGTCTAGTATGAAACTTAACTCTGACTTTTCGTTACACTCTTTCATCTTCCGTACCGATCCGAGTTTCTTATAAGGTCATTTCGCATTTAAATAAGAGTGAGGGGATTATATTAGTGGGAAAGAGGAGGTAGGAGAGGGAACAAGGGAACAAACAGGGGGAGGGGGGGGGGGCAAGTTAAAAGTAGAGGAAGTGAGAAAATGTTCTTTTACGAAATAAGGGGGGGGGGGGGGTTGACGAGACTCAGACTTTCCTACTTGTTAGATTATGCCTCGTAAATTACGCAGGGTTTAATTGGCAGGTGCAGGTGGAACTGAAAGTTTTAGGATTCAGTAAGGATCGGATCGAGTAACGGGACCTTTAGTCACAACCACAAAATTTTTTTTTTAATTAACGCTCCGGTAATGTGTATAGAAAAGTACGTATTGTCATTGATCTTAAATTTGGTGTTTGCGGCTGCGGGAACTATGTTTTAACATAGCCTCGGCCTTTCCTATCAGGAATATAATAACCTTTGTCCTTCTTTACCGCAGGGTTTAACTTGCAGTTGCAGGATTCGGGTACAACTGAAGGTTAATTTTAGAATTCAGTAGGGGTAGGGCTTTTAGACACGCCTGGTAGTAAAAGAACCTATTGTCATTGACCTGAACATTTACGTCATCAGTTATCGGAAGGTCAGCGGTTGAGACAGGCAAAGATTCTACAGCTTACTGTGGATTACATTCGCTCGAGTAATTTCCATGGAAACCGGGAGGGATTAGACGTCTCAAAGGAATTTCAGACTTCCAGTATGACTTCACGTCTTCCTTCATTGAAAACCAATGTCGTGCACGAAGCAAAGCAAGGTTAGAACTTGAGTCGGCTTGAGTTAACTCCAGTATCGTAATCGTAACGCGCACGGGAATAGACTGACAAAAGTTTCTTGAAATATACATTATATAATGCCTCGTTAGACATCGCACGCATCAGTTCAGGAGTACAACCTTAACAATTCCCTTTCTAACTCTGAATAATATAAGAAGCGCGATCTCAAATTCCCCATAACTTCTTCCCCTCCCCCCAAAAGAAAACTATACCTTCACCAGTGTAAACATACAGCTTGACGATTACAAATCTTCATTCCGACAACTCTGTATAGGGTTCTAAGTATTTGCCTTATTTTCTATGTAAAGTGTCTTATTACACATTTTTTCTTTTCTTTTCTTTTCCTTCTCTTTGCTTTCTCTTTTCTTTGTTTTTTTTTGTAGAAGAGAAAGGTTTCAGACCTTATTGTTCCGGACGTTTCCTTGACAACACCCGTTGCAAAAAATTTTCTTGTCTGAGTATGGTACCTTTTCATCGATCTGAGTGTAAACAAAGGATACCACTTTGGAATCAAACTAGACTCATCCACCCAATTGTTCAAGGTCAATACACCACTTTACCACCTTCTGAAACACGATTTGACGTGGCCAACACATGGGGAGGTGTTCCGCCTATATCATTGTTGGGGACTTGTTTAAACCCTCCTTATGAATCTAATGGGATGTATCATGAGCCCAGTGACTGCTCCGATCAAGCAAGTTACCAAGAACGGTCTTCTATTGACGTTGCTATGGGAACGAAATCTGAATTTGATCCGCCTCTTGAAGCTCTTCAATCGTTGTGCAGTTCGATATCTTCAAACGCTTTCGCTTCCCAAACTAAGAAAAGCGATTTACATACAGAAACTCTTTCATCGTGTGGGATCACATCCGAAACGTTCGAGCAAGATTCTCGGCTGCCCTCAGTAGCGATCCCTCGTACAATCGCGTCAGAAATGTGGCACTCTTCAAATGCTCTGGCGCGGTCTCTTGAAACGCCAATTCAGTCTCAGGATCTTTGGAGACCCTGGGACTTCGCGGAATAGGACAAATAAAGGAGTAATACGAAATGGAAAAGCAAACTCAGCCCACAGATGCAGATATATGAATTTACTTCCATGAATGATCAAAACTCCTTGTGTGTGCTTCCGCTGCTTACACGGGTCCGGACAAATTTTTGAACGGTCGAATTTTTTACCCGTGCAACCCGTTTACACGCAACCGTGCAAATTCTGTTACATACTGCAGTAATGTTTACCGTTCGAAAACTTGCAAGGTTCCGTGGGTCCCGTGTAAACGAAAGGTGGGTCCGTGCAAGTGTTTCTCTGGTCAGAAATTTGTCGGGACCAAGAGAGGATAAAGGGGACAGAGAAGGCATCCCCCATACACCCCCTATTCCATAGGTAATTCGTCTCGAGTTATTTTTAGAATCGGGATAAAGTTACCTCGCGCGCTGCGTGGTTGTTTCGTGGAGGTTTCGCATGACTAAACGCCGTGCAAAACATGTCGGGCGAAAGGCAATGAAAGCGTAAAGAGATCGAGAGAATTTCTGAATATTGAAGCGAAATGAGTCGTCGCTCACCTGGGAAAAGAAATCGCTGGACTCTTTGTCAACCCGTGAAATCAGTTTAACTCGAAGTTGTCGTAACCTCAGTGCTTTCATAAAATGAGAAATTTCGCCGGTCTATTGAAACCGGTCGTTTGTACAATAAAGCAAGTAGGACGCCAAGTGTTATTTTTGTTGAATAATAAAAGAATAAATATCAAACCAGAAATTGCTCTCTTCAAACTGTAAATTATAAATGATCCTGAGAGAATGTTCACTGTGTTAAGGATTTCCCTGCTGTACTGTTAGCTCTATACAAGAGACGAAGGGCGATTCTTTTTTAACTTCCATTTCGCTGACACTGCTTTAGCAGAAATCTCTCTGTAGTCGTTTTTGTCGACAAAACGAATAGCAATATCGCTCTCCGCCTTTTCCGCCATTTTTTTCTGCGTCAATTCGTGAAGGACGCGTGGCTCTGAGCGTAGGTCATCCACGCGGAACACATTCGCGCTATATGATTGGCTGTTGTCTAATCCCCCTTGGGATCTGTGGTCTTAAAAATAACTCGAGACGAATTACCTATGGAATAGGGTGTGTATGGGGGATGCCTTCTCTGTCCCCTTTATCCTCTCTTGTTGGGACCTATGAAAACAGGGTCTCCGTTAATCTCGTACCCAGATCTCTCGTTGACGAAGGCAAGATCTGGGAACAAGATTAGGTCTCAGGTTTTTCCATTCATATTTTGTTGTTACTTAATAATTTATATTTGCAATAATGTAGTTTAGGGACATTCGCTTTTTATACTTTTCTAAGGTCCCAACACACTTGATATCTCAAGTTAAGTAGCAGATAATGCAACAAAAACTTATACTTTGCCATTGTGTTTGAAAATAGATCTTTATAGTAATTAAAGTTGTGTTTTACTTCAATCCTCATAGCTAAGAATCTTTGTGCGGGTTCTACCCTTCATAGCCAGTCCTTTTTGTGGCTTTACCTGATATAATCTTATTGTATCATTTTCTTTACCATTTAAACCTCGATCTCGATAAGCTCGATCGATAAACACAGCAAGCATATAAGAGCCTTCTGGGCCCGAAAAGTTGTCGGAACTTACGAGAAACGAGTCCCTGGTCGGTATACCGATCGGCCGGTTTGAATGACTAATGACAGTCTACCGCGGGCTGTAATTCCTGTCCAAAATGCCCCCTGGATGAAACTTTTTTCATGATGTAAAGAAAAAGCAGGCTCCCGGTGGTGGGAATTAAAGGCGATCAAGAGACCTAGAATCATTTTTTTGGTAAACATAAACGTCATAAATGGTAAACGTCACATTCCAGTTGACAATAGGCCTTTTTGCATTAGTTGATCACGTGATCAACTTTCGATAAGCACGAAAACAGTTCGCTTTTGAAAAAATTTGTTAGCACGAGCTGAAAGAGCATATTAAAATTACGAAACCTGTAAATTTTCAGCCGTATATCTCAAAAGTAGCGATTGCAACAGCCTCCGAAAATTAGAAGGATTTGTATGAGAAAAACCACTCAAGCGTGACTGGTCCATAGAACTCCTTGAAAATTCTGAAGTCTTTAAACTGTCGTTAAACCTATCCCTTACGCATTTAAGAGCTTAAATTTCCTGTTATGAATTAAAATGAGATTTGAGCCCCGTAATGCTTAAGTTTAACAATTGCCTAAGAGTTACAAGGATTTGTATAGAAAACCATTCAAGGGTAAGTGGGTGGCAAAAGTTGTTTTTCTCATACAGATCCTTCTAATTTTCGGTGGCCGTTGAAATCGCTATTTTGGGGATGTACGGCTGAAAATTTACAGTTTTCGAGATTTTACAAAAAAATGATGCTCTTTCAGCTCGTGCTAACAAAATCTTTCAAAAGCCGCGATCAGCTAACGTAAACGGCTTATTTTCGAGTTCCAAAAACTCCTACTTTTAAAACGTGACTAATAATGCAAAACCTTTGTAAAAGAGAGTTTTCATATCAATGGTTTCGGATGTAGCCTCCCTTTGAAACAGAGGCTCAGAAGTGATTTGGGACAACCCCCTCCCCTGTCAATTCTCACGCACCCCACTCCCACCAGGTAATCGTTCAACAGAGACCACGCACAGTGCCAACTTACTAAAGCGCGAACTGACACACGACAAGTCTCGAACTTGTAGGTGGATTTTTGTTTTCCCACACAACTTGACTAGAAAAAGGAGACAATAACTTCCATCCTTTTTCTAAAGCCTTCCCTAACAGAACAAGAAGTATGCCGAGACATTCAGTTACTAAACACCAGGTAAACTTACAAGCTTATGTCTGCGATCAAATCCTTCTTGTAGTTCTCGTACAAACGACTGGGGCACTTTCTTAATGTTATTTTATCTTGATATTTGAAAAGGATTTTAGAAAACCAGCAATGGAGAGGAAAAGAAGACAGAAAATCAATGATTGTTTGTCTCAAATCAAGCAACTGATTCCCGAAGCTAAGGAACTTGAGGTAAAATGAATTAGTCTGCTTCTCCACAAATTCACCACATGTTTCATAACCTCTTTGGGAACGAAGAAACGCAGCACTTTACAAAATGCACTGTACCAGTACAAAAGAGCATTTTCGTTAATGAAATGAATCATTTTGAACTTAATTCTTGTGTTTTCTCCACTTTTCTGTAGGCTAAGAAAGGATGCAGGCTGGAAAAAGTGGAAATTTTAGAAATCGCCGTTAAGTTTATTCGAAAAATGAAAAATAAGATGTCGGACGACACTGCAATGAACAGGGCGGGAAAAGATACGGGTAAGCTTCCATGCATGATAATTCATCCAAATAATTAAATTTTTAGTAAAATTGCTTTACAAAAATTGGTTTATGCGCGTAGGTCTTCAAGATTAACTCCTAGAGTAACGAGAAATGCTTAGGTTAACGTTATTGTGGGAATTCCCTGAATGTAAATTTTGGCGTTTGCATTTGGGTGGATGCCTTCCCTTGAAAAAAAGAGTTGCGCTGCAGTCGTACTGTAAATTCGCCCTGATACGCGCACACCAAACCGGGAAACGATTTTCCGATTTTCAAATTCCAGAAAAAGAAATTACCAATGGACAAAATCATGTGAGCTTGCTTGTTTTAAGAGAGAGGTAGTGCTAGATCATCTGGGATTCTAGTGTCCATTCTAGTACTTCGATTTCTGAAATATTCTAGTGAGTCTAGCAAATGAACCAAAGCAGAAAAGGAAAAGAGGAAAAATTGTTTTTAGAGGAATGTAAACACGTCCATCAAATTACTTCTGTCACAACAAGGAACATGTTTGTCATATTTTTCTCCCCCTAATTTGCCACGATGCCGAACGAGCTGATGCATGTCTTCGCATACATAT